GCAGTTCAGTACGTTGTCGCGCTCATGTTCATCGAATACTGACATGTCTTCCAATATCTACTTTGTATCAGCGCAGTAGATTGTACTGAAATGAAGGAATTGGGTGGATCGTTAGGTGATGCCCGGCATGTAACATGCAAGTTTGCACTTGGCGGATCCTGAGTCAGCGCGACTACGACGTACTCACTTCTAGAATCAACAGGACGCGTATACCATCGCACACGACTTGTACTTATGTGTAATCGAGTAGTGATGGTGTTGTCAGAGTAAGCATCGCATCGGTGCTCGCGTCTCCGTTTATGCCGACGATCGACGGCCGAGCTTCCAACAACATACGTCTGAGTATGGTCCTCACTCAACCTCAATTTCCAATCGTACACTACATTATCAGATACGCAACTCATAAAAACCAGTAACACCAACAATCTGTAAGACAGTTGCCTTACACAGCTCTCCTGATGCTGCGAAGCAGGCATTGCCAACAACCGATATATGCACGCCCGGTGATACCACAGCACCTTTCTCCGCGTTTTCTCCCCACCTCATTCTCCGAAAAAGCACGTCGCACGCATGTCTCACGCCGCCCTTTCTGTTTATAGCCACAGGATCATCCTGCAATATCCCAATTATCCAATCGAATGTTTCTCAATCCAGCATCAGCCAATCTAGTCATTTCTTCAAGCTTTGTTCGCCTGTTTGCGTACTCCACAAGGCTGAGGGTTTGACCCTGCATCACCACCATGCCAATGACGCTTGCGTACCTGCAAGACTGCCGAGACCACACACGCATACGCTTTTCAGACGCGTAAGCCCTGTAAGCGTTGTTGCTTGTCATCTCTGATGATCATACGCTTCTTTGCAGCTCGTCTTAGTCTGGCGATCCTGTGTAGGCGTGTGGAGTTGGTGGACTATCCTCAGCTGAGCCTCGCGGGCCCCCTCCGGACGCTTTCTCTATGACGGAGGGGGATGGTAAGCTACGATAGCGTCCAATGAGCTCATGGGCCGCGTATGTCGGGCCTTGGGGTATTTGAACGTTGGTGTGTCGCGTGTGGAAACGTTTTCCAGAGCTAGAAAGACAGGTGCGACTTTGATGTGACAAGGCTTAGTATCGTTGCACAAAAGCGAGTCACTACATATTCTGGATTACCACCGCGTTCTCACAACATAACAAAAACATTACCTTGGACACGAAAAGCAAACCCTCGGGTACCGATTCCAACAAAATGAAGTTCACCTTGACCGCCATCACAGCGCTTGTCGCGCCTATTGTTGCGCAGAGCACAACACCTGCCCCTACGTCGACCGACCCTTGGTACGGCTCCGGTCCACCATGGGCTTCTTCTGATCCGGCAAAATGGTCTTCAATCTACCAATCGCTTCTCTCCGAAGGCAAGATCCCATCGACCCTCACTGCGGCGCCTTGGCCGACCGGCAGTTATGGTCCTGGCCAAGGGCCCTGGGGACCAGGAGGACCGCACGGCCCAGGTGGTCCTGGAGGACCCGGACACTGGGGAGGTAATACTCTCGTCAATCTAAACCTAAGATCAATTGCTAATCCAATGTCCAGGTCCCGACGGCCCCGGCCCGTGGGGCTCATCAAACTGGGGTCCATACAGCGACTGGTCCACTCGTTCAGACTGGCGCAACGGCCCTTGGACGGCATGGTGGGGAGGCAGCGCATGCCCCCCATCAGACTGGCCCGGTTGGACAGCTGGACCCTGGAGTAGTTCTGCGCCATGGACGAGCTGGAGCGGATGTTCAGCTTCAACGACGGCAACGAGTGTTGTTACCACAACGATTAATGGAACAGCGGCTACCACGACTGCGTACGGACTGCAAGTTGCTGCTGCGAGTGCGAGTACCACTGGCGATGCGAGTACAGGAGCTGGTGAAAAGGCTACGGTGAAGATTGGTGCTGTCGTTGGTGTCGTGCTTATGGGAGTTGTCGTTGCTTTGTAAGGAGAGAATGCGCGAATACGATGAGACGGCTGTGTTGGCTATCGTCGATGAACTTGTCACTCGTGGTTCAAGCATGCATTGGTATGGCGTTGGAACACATGAGACGAAGTACGCTCTTTGATGTTGTATACCCTCTTTACTCACATAATGATATTCTGTATGGTAAAAGTAAAATCTGACTCGCTCACCATTCGAAATGAATTACAGGTCGGTTGAGATTTTTTCTGTAGGCATGTTTCTCATGTTACTCGTATGCAACGAGGACTAGCTACATCTAACTCTCAAACCTTCATAAGGCTTTGTTGTCTACAAAATTCTACTCATCTTAGCCTTCCATCCTGTCTTCTCAGTTCTGTTCTCTTCTCCACTGCCTACACTAACGCCCTCATCCACAACACCCGCTTCATCGTAGATCTCATCCGGATACACCGCCCTCTCGATGAACGTTTCTTTCGGCGGCGCAACTACCATCTCCAAAAGTGCATACACTAGGGCCGTCGCAGTGAAGCCTAGCAACCAACCGAAACTATACGGCCTTGCGCCCACGCCAGCGTCAATGTTGGGGTTAATGGACTGAATAAAACCCGGCATGTTCGGCGCGACGCCGATGAGAAAAGCAACGATGGCGCGCCAATTGCAGCCGCTGGTGTACCGGTAGATACCATGGTACTGATACAACGCCAGAGTGTCGTACTTGCCACGATGTACGACCCAAAAGTCCACTACCATAATCGCAGCAATCGGTCCCAGGAAAATCGCATACGCAGCCATGAAGTTCAAGAAGCTACCAGCAGACGCGAGGATCTTCCAAGGAACAAGTGCCCAGCAGAGTACGGCGCAAAGTAACTGGCCACGACGGATGTTGATGTAGCGGGGGAAAAGAGCTGTCAGGTCGTTGGCTGCCGAAAGGGAGTTTGCGGAGATGTTGACACCGAGAGCGGCGAGGGCGAAGGAAAAAGCGGCGAAGAAGCGACATGCACGGTTGTCCCAGTGCGAAATAAGGGCCATGGGATCCCACTCCACAGTGCCATATTTGACAGCGCCGGCTGAGGTGGCGGCGACTCCGATGAAGGCGATGAAGGTGAAGACTATGGGCAAAAAGGGGACGTAGATGCATTGCCATTTTACGGAAACGCGTGAGTAGCGGGAGAAGTCAGACTGTATTCTTATGTCAGTATTTCAAGACCGTGTAGACTCCACTCGGTAGTAATCAGAAGACCATGACAGAACTTACCTGGTTGACAGACAACGTAGCATAGTTTCCAATAACACTCGTGAGCGATGACAAGAAGCCCCAGGAATACGCGCTTCCCGTCAATGTAGCCTTCTGATCCCACATGTCACCGCCGCCCTCTGTGCTCACGAAAGCCCAGATCAGAATGGCAATCCACGCAATCGGCACAATAATGCTTTTAGCCATGAACAGCCATCTCAGCTCGTTTGGATGCATGACCAAAAATGGTACGCTTCCCAACCAGAAGATGAAGAAACTGATCATAGTCGCCGTGTCGATGCCTTGGCTCGCAGGAATGCCATTGTGCAGTGTGAGGAAAGACGGCCAGATGGCGCCAATCATGACACGAACAGAGTTTGCACCGTTCATGTTTTGGATTGCGAACCAGAAGATTGCGAGGATGGCGCGGGAGATAATGGCGATGTAAGAGCCCCAGAAGCCCCAGGAGGCGCGGGCAATGACGGGAAAAGGGACATGGTGGAGAACACCGATTGCACCGTTAAGAGCAATGACGAAGGAGATGATGAAGAAGGCGAGGGCGACTATGCCGAGGGATTCGCGCCATGTAAGACCTTATTAGTGTTAATAGACGTTTGATTGGTAGCTCAAGACTGCAGAGTAGGGGGAAATACCAATTGCAATGATACTGGATGCAAATTGCCATGTCGCAGCACTGGGGGTTGTATTAGCATCTGATGTGTTGTCGGGTTCAATATTCTTGAGGATACGTACTTGAAGGCATCCGAGACCCAATACGAGATGAAGCTTGTAACACCCCACTTCCTAGCATGCCTCGGGACAGGGTCAAGATCTTTGTTTGTCCTGTGTAGCATCAATTAGTACATATGTTCATAATTGCGCATCTCCGTACCGAACTCGAACTTACCATCGCGCATTGCCTATCGCAAATGTACTCTCAGGTTGCTCAACCCGAAGCGTCCAATGCGGCTTCTCAATGAACGGCATCTTGGAGCCTGCCGTGTGCCGACAATCAAGGGTGGGGAGGATGTAGAGATGAAGTCCTCTCGCGCGACGGACACGAGCGCCTCTTTATCCTCTAGCATGATGCACAGTCTTGGTGCAGATCTCCGAACTGCGGCCATTCTGGATTGACGTTACGTCGATATCTCTGGCAAGAACACGATAAGATAAGCGCCACAATCCTGACCATTGTGTTCAACCCATGGCATAGAGACAAGCCGGGGAGGGGTTCAGCTGAGCTAGGCGAACGCCTTGAACACTTCCTCGCAGCCCTTTGCTCAGCGTAGGACCACTCACACCAGAAGCTGTCATGATTAGCGGCTGAATTCCACGGTCTCGGTCCTTGGGGAAATGGGACGGTCGCTAGATCGTGCAGGCTGTCATTCGACGCTCGTGCAGGTGCAGATAAGCACCCCAGTCGGTTGAGGTTTAGCTTCGGTGGCGCTTCGGCTCAGATTACCCCAGAGGGACGATCCCCACGCGACAAGATAGGAACGATATGTTCTCCACAAGTATAACGCAGATGGTATGAAAGACGGGAGCTTTGCGGATTACTGCACCTGATTGAGATACCGCTGTTCGGGATAGTCAGTGGTACGCGGCAAGGAAGCAAGCCATGTGTCGGCACTTGGGATGCATGCCGCACAAATTGGTCTAGATGCATGGTCAGTCGCGTGTCTGCATGCACACGAGAACTATTGTTGAGCTGATCGCGTATTAGGGGAATGCGCGAGCTCTAAGGTGAGTTTGTATCACATTGCACATGCTTCGTGGCGATACGTTTCTCGAGACTGGCATATATTCAATGTCGCTGTACGCACCCTAGCTATACATAGGCCAAAGTATGATCGTCTCGAATGGTGGCATTCACACCTAGGTGAACCTCGCCACCTACAACTGATGAGCCATTGACAACAAGCTCTCCAGCAGTCTGATCGTCTGTTGTCTTGTGCTGTGGCGTGTCTTTCAACTTGATCTCCACGCAGCTGAGAGGTACGCCGAAGTGGCTGTGTTTATTAGACGGGGTTTCCCCTCTCCGATAGTCGTAGATGTTCGTCTGTGCAACAGCTCCAGCTACTTTAGCAGTGGTCAAGGCATATACCACACGCGCTTTGGTGAAGATGCGCAGATCAGATAGGTCTTCTGAGCTAAGTGGTGGTGTGTTCAGGCCCTGTCTCTCAGACACAAAGACCAGACGCAGTTTCCCAGGTGTTGTACCGATGGCCGCTCTAGCGGGTGCATTGAGCTTCGTGAAAAGGTTGTCGGTAGGTAGGCGGCCAGCAGTCAACATGCGCGTCTCGAGGTAGTGTGCCAATTTCTGCGGGCCACCGGTTATTGAGGTCTTGGTAGAATTGTGAAGCTTCGCAGCTGTTTCGGCTGAGATGACTGTGACCGTGGGAGCGATGGAACGTGTAGCCAGTTCAAGGTCGACACCGGGGCCAGCAACAGACTGGATGATGACTGTCGCATGAGAGAATAGAGCAGCCAATGTTAGGCACAGACTGTAAGAGTGCGTGAAGGCGTCGGCAGGGAGGAATGTGTCCGAGGGGTTAAGACGGTGCGAGGCAGGAAGAGATGTGATCAGTGCGCCAATGGCAGCAGTCAGGTTCTGTTGTTGTTAGAAGGCGCATATACCAATACTCCGTCTTGTCATACCTGCTGCGTGAACTCGACGACCTCTGCTGGCTTTCCAACGGCTTCTTGCCAGAGGAAGACAACATTTGGTGGCTTCTCGGAAGTGGAAGGCAGTGCTGTAGGAGCGCTCTTCTGTTCCTGTACAAGCTCATGCCACACGGCAACGTCGATCTTCCCACCGATACCTTCGGGCACCTCGCTCCAGTCCATGTGCCTGCTTGTCTTCTCTACGGTCCAGATGACGGAACGCAGGCTAGACACACCCTGGCCAACTTCAGAAAGAGGAACGGAGCCCGCCTCGGCGATCATAGCGTCGGCTCCTGTCTGGCGAAGAAGGTCGACCAGAGTCTGGTGTGGCTGGTTGTATGGTATCAGGATGGGGGTGAAACCGTAGAAGGCGCCAGCGAAGAGCGCGGCCAGGAACTCGAGGCTGTTAGGTAGGTAGATGGCAACTCTTTTCGCGCCACGCTCTTGCAGGTGTTTTCCAAGGATAGCAATCTCTTTGGTAACGTCTTGGACCTTGTGCTCAGTCACGCCTTCCTTGCCGAAGACGGTCATGATGTTTGCCGTGCCGCTGGATTTGGCGCCCTTCTCGAGAGGAATTTCACCTGTGACTCGTCGCCAGATGTCTCGAAGGTCTCCATCCTTTCCGGCCGAGTACATGGGAGCGCCCGGAGGTCTGACGGCAAGTCCGGTACGAAGAGGGTCTATCCCAAGTTAGTAGTGACTGCAGCAGCATAGAGGGAGGCGTACATACAACCATGAGGAGTCTCGGGAGACCTGAAGATGGCCGATTCTCCCGGCTGCCTCACATAGGAAGCCACTGCTTGTCTCGCGAGCAGCAGCGGGTGCGTGTCGGCATCGGCGCTGTCGTAAATGATGAAGGCCAGAAAGCCGACGATGGAGAAGGCGATGAGGGTGGTGTAAATGTTCCAGGCTGCCAGTATGTCGGAGATGGACCCGTCGAGCTGCTCTAGAAGTCCCGCCATGGCTGAAGGTACATGGAGAGAGTGAAGGCGGAAGCAAAGCGCACGAGGTTTGGCTGGCAGCTGCGGGATGACGGCGGGGGTCAGGGTCGCTAGTGAAGAAGGACCCCTGTCAAAGCTACCAGTAGTATGCCCGTCCTCCGAGCGCCCTTGCCAAAACATGGTTGCTGCACAACCACTCTGACATTCACCATCGCCGCACCCTTGAGCGTACATAATGTTCCTGTAGCCTCGCGCTTCTGTTCAAAACTAACTACTAATCCAGCAGCAGCAGTGAAAGTGTCCCCCGGCACGTGAGCCGAGCCATCTCTTGCGACACCCCTTCGGCCAAACAAACAATCAACGCGGATAGCTAAAAGCTTCAAACAACATGTCTGCAACCAGATACGCGCAGCCGGCAACCCCGCAAACGCCGGCGACACCATCTTCCCAGACGGAACAGTCATACACCCCCAATGGCTCCTGGCGACATCCCAAGTTTGATGAGATTGCGCGCCGCCAGTACGCTACCACTTTTGACGAGCGCAACGTCAGGGCCATTGTCCTCAACGCTGGCTTCTTGTTCCTTTCAGTCTACGGTAATCGCGTCACCGAAAAGGTCAAGCTGTTGGAGTATGCTGCGTGAGTACCCATGTCACCTTGTCCTGGCGCGGCATGCTAACATTTCACTAGGACACCGATTAACGCTGTTGTAACAGCTGTTCCCTACAGCAACTGGGCTATACTCCTAGTCCGCGTCGTCTTCGCGGCAAACATCGTCATCGCCTTCCTGCCTCTTGTCCGCCGCTACTACCCCGATGAGATTGTCGATATACCTCTCACCCCCTCACAACGCGCCTCGATGGGGTTGAAGGCTGGTGTCCAGGCGCCTCCGACTCCAGGCTCCGCATACGCATCGCCCAACTACGTGACTCCTCCCAGATACCAACGATCAACACCACGCAGCAACAGCTTCAGCGCTCAAGATCACGGCTCGCATTCGCCTAGCCCGCGCCCAAATTTTGGGAGGTCTGGCTCAGGCTCGCCCTTCTCACCAAACAATGGTGGAAGTTTTGATAGGTCACTCAGTGGCTCAGCAATAAAGCGCATGAGCTATGGTAGTTCGATGAGCGGCAGCTTGTTCGGTGATAGCTCGAGCAGCATGACACCAGGCACCCCCACTCCTTCCACCGGTAAGGCAAGTGTCGGGCTGAACAACAAGTGGCTGTATGAGAAGAGGAGAGACAGCCCAAAGAGCAGTATGTTCATGTGAGGACTCGTCATGACGATTGATGTAGGAGAAACTAAACGGCAACATATCGCTTTATACCCTGATATATCGCGTAGGCGTTTTGGATCATGGTTCTTGTTTAGCATAGCTTGGAGCGGGTATTAGAGCCGCCAGCCCGCTCGTGTACGATAATACAAAGAGTGGAAACCTTCCATGCCATAACGCCGTTGAGCGAGCGCGGAACCATTATCCAATCTTCCGACGGCCATGGCTTATATACACAATCCCTTCCCACTAACCAATCGTTCCTTCATAACATTCCTCTCAGTCTCCGGCTCATGAGAACCGATCGCCCTTTCGACTTCGGTACACTTCATTCGCCTCGTACTTGCTCTTCTCTCCTACCCTCTGCCCCTCACTCTCGGGTGCATGCCTTGTGGGCGCTGGATCTTGGCTAGCCTGTAGACTTGGATTACCCTCACCCCCCATCCCACCATTACCTCCTCCTTCACTCCTCAGCCGGCCTAACTCGCTTGTCACGCTCTGCGGCGCTGACTGTGTAGATCCTGGTTTCGCCGTGGGGTTCAGTGGTGTGGTGGTAGGGGCCGAGTTCTTCAGGCCGTGCTCGAGTTCATAAAGGCGGATGCGCTTTTGGCGGTCGGCTTCGGCTTTTGCGGCGCGGTCAGCGTTGATGCTGCGTTTGGCGAAGAAGTAGGCGCCGCCGCCTGCTACTATTAAGGTTGCCCAGCCGTAGCTGTGCGCATGTCAGACGGTATTCATTGTGTGCTTCATGGCATGTTGCCGAGGCGCCTGGTGTTGGGGGTTCGTGGCCCTGATGGGGTGGTGGATATATGCATATGATCGGTAGAGCTCTGGAGGAGTGTGCGTGACGTACTATACCGATTTGATCTATCTGACGATTAGCACAGGGCACAGGTTTGGGAGCACGGCTTGAGCTTACTGTGTTCATGATGAGCAGCGGATAGTCGGTTTGCGATGTGAATTGTTGTGTTGGGAAGCTCGTTGTGGCTTTGCGACAGCTCACAAGTTTCTTTCTGTGCGATGGATGATGAAAGTGGTCTGATTGTTGTAAGGCTGACGGCGATTATTCGGCGATTAGACCAGGGTTCGCCGCCGTGGGGATGAACGAACTAGCAAGTGAACAACAACTCTTCTGCTTGGTCTTTTCTCTGCCTTCACTCATCCAAAACCATGTATTGCCGCCATTCACGCCCAGCTGACCTAGAAGGCTGATCTTGATGGCGCGACATCGACTTACACTCACATATACTGCAATGTAACCTCTCCAGTCGGATGTTCTCCAAGACACCACATCCTATTCTGCGCCTCTCGCGTTTCACAGCGAATGCAAGAGACGTCCCTTGTCGAACCGATTGACTGTATTCATACTGGCACTATTGCAGCTTTTCGAGCCCGAAACAGGTACAGCGATATCTTCAAGTCATACCGTAGTGCTTGGTCGTAATGCCGGGCAAGGCTTTCAAGACATTGCGGAACTTCTTCTTACGGATGGCAGCGATACCAATAACGAGATGATAGCCACCGGCAATATGCTGTCCAACACTTGCAGTGTACGATTGAATCCTTCACTGCTCGCTGGGTGATGGTTCACGGCAAATCGGCACGATACGGCAGAAATGCCTCAGGAGTGCGGAAATGACAGATGCATCATCTGTGTCTGCGTTATCGCGACTTTGAACCCCTTTCGCTCAGGCATTGTTGAGAGTGACGAAAAGACGAATCTCTACGCGAGAGACACTGCGGCGTATCTGCCGAGGCGCGGTGTTCAGCCTCCAACGGGTAGCCCCACAGGCATGTAACGGGAGATACCCACTTTTCCGGGCGCCTGATTTCGAAACACCATCTTTCCGCGGCTCTCCCATCTTGTGGACAGACCATTCGCTCTCTGCTGTCATCTGCACAAGCACAGCTTCCGGAATTGAGCCGGACATACGACATCGGCTGTACCAAGCCGTCATGTTTCGTGGTGGCGTGCTACGTTCTGATTCGAAACTTGACTTTACGGTTCTCGAAACCTCCCATGCCTCATCACTAGCGTGCTACGGTAAAACGGAGGCTGGATTGCAGGTTCAATGAGCGCTAAGTGACGGAGGGCATGATCTCGTACAGGTTCTCGAAGTTTGAAGCTGGTGGATTCGCCTCACCACAGCGCCGTTACGTCCCTGACAGGCTAGGTGTTCCCTTCAAAGGGACGCCACAAGCTCCTGCGAAGTCTACCCAGGGGTGCTTATTCCTGTCTTGGCAACATTTTGTACTCCACTCTCTCATTGCCAAGCATCGACTGAGGCGCCTAGGCCAGCACCAGCATATACACAACCCTTACCTATACCGATGCACGTCTCATGGAAGTGGACACCCACCATGGATCTCGAGTAAGAAATTTCACGATACGGCGGTATGCCCTGTCATGATCCCTCAGTATATAGATTACTTTGAGTTCCACTGCTTGTAATCTATCTCCATCAACGGTCTTTCACTTCTTCACAGCTCGACGCTAGTCCTTCTTTACTCCACATTCTATTCTATTCTCAGCGCTGAGCGCCAACTTTATTTTAACTCCAATCATGATGTACTTCACTGCCACTTCCTTTGCACTTGCCACCTTGGTATCCACCGTGCACTCGCACGCAGCCATCTTGGCCGCTGTTGGAGACTCTGGCGAGAGTCAAGGTTTCTTGGTCGATCCTGCAATTGCCCGCAACTGCACTACCATCTCTCCTTGCCAACAAGATGCTACCATCATTCGCGACTCGGAGATCACGCAGAACATTGTCAACGCCTGCGGAAGAACCGAGATTGCCGGCAACATCGACATCGGTGAGCAAACCGAGAACGAGCTTGCAGCTGGCCGTATGGCTCAAGTGTCTTCTGGCTCCATGTTGGCTGTCACCATCCATCAAGTTAATGCAGATGGCGCCGGTCCATTCGAGTGCGACATGGACGAGACTAGCAACGCCGTGACCACCTTCACACCCTTGAAGGTATCCAACAACATTCCTGGTAGCTTCGGTCTCTCTCAGGCAAAGGAAAAGGACTTTGTTATCAACGTCCAGATGCCCGACAACTTCAACTGTCTTGGTGCCTCAACTGGCAACATCTGCACTGTTCGATGCCGCAACAACGCCATCGCTGGTCCCTTCGGTGGATGCTTCGCCGTCCAGCAGACTGACGGAACTGGTCGTACCAACGAGAGCGCTTCTGGTAAGTTTCACATTTTCCGTTATCATTACAAAGCATTTGCCCTATCCTGTATCCATACTCACTGCCGCTAGCTGTCGACACTGCTCAGACACTTGAGGGTATCTCTGCACAAATCCTGCAAAACAAGAAGGATCTTCCTGCTGCTATCGCGGCGAACCAGGCTGCTGGTGCTGCGGGCGGTAATGAGGGTGCCAGTGCCATTTCCGGTGCGTTGATTTTTCATCCGTCGCATTTCTATCGTAATGAACTTGAACTAACATCTCTTTCAGCTCTTGTCCCTGATGCGACTCAGGCTCCCAATGCTGGAAACGGCAACAACAATGGCGGTAACAACGGCGGCAACCAGGGAGGCAATGGCGGCAAGGGCAACCAGAACGGCAACCAAGGTCAGGGTCAAGGTCAGAACCAGAACCAGGGCCAAGGCCAGCAGAACCAGGGCGCAGCTCAGAATGGTCAAGGTCAGGGCCAAGGCCAGGGTCAAGGCAACGGCCGTGGAAACCAGGGCCAGAACCAGGGCCAGGGAGGCCAGGGCCAAGGCAACCGTGGCGGCAACAGGATCAAGCGCGCTCTCAAGTTTTTGAGCTAAGCGATTGATAATGTGTGAAGGAAGAGCAAGCACAGTGAATGCTACATAACCGATTGAGGTTGGACGCAAAACGCGCGAGAAATCAAAGGCTGGTCCATTTACATCATTTACCAACAATGTATATACCCTTTTAGTTACATACGGAGAAGAGGAGATAAGTAGAGAAGGACGAAGAGTGAATAAAAGACTACTTCTTCATCTTTTGGTTTCAAATTTTGCAGTCTCGCGATGTCTTTATGGCTTGGATTTTTTTTGATTGAGTATTGTCAGACACCTTGGTGAAGCCAAAAAGCCTCGAGACCAAGTTCCAACTCAACCGATATTGCTAGTGCTCGCTCTGGCAGAGACGATATGTTCAAATACGTGGAGTCTCAGTAACAGTCGCTTCCTCACCCTTTTCCAACCCTCCAACATCCTTTCCGCCCTCAAGAGTGTCGTCATCAAAGAAACCGTACTCTCTCTGCATTTGCTCGATGCCAACGGGATCCAAAAATGGCAGCTCCTTCGCAGCCTTCACATAACTCATGTTCTCCACAAAGCCCTTGGCAAAGATAAGGTCAATCTCCTCCAAGCTTCGCTGCTTGGTCTCAGGATAGAAGATATGGATAAAGGGCAAGAAGCACGCATTCATCGCTGCGAAAAAAACGTAGGTGCCCCACCCAATGTTATCAATCATGATAGGCGTGATCATGACGACGATGAAGTTTGATAGCCAGTTAGTGCATGTCGAGATGGCGTTTGCTTTGCCACGTGTCTTTACAGGGTTTACTTCTGCTGGGTATAGCCATGGAAGTGGAAGCTGTAAAGGTGGTGCAAGTCAGTGCATGTCTCACATAGGATTTCGTACATTGAGGACTTACCCATGTCGCTGCGAAAAATGCAATGTATGTGAATAGGCCCACAGCTGCGCCTTTCGCTGCAGTTTGCGTACCCGGGATGAGGGCACCGAACACCAGAACCATGGACAAGCCTTGCCCCCAGGTACCGATCAGAAATAGCTTGCGACGACCAGTGCGTTCGATGATGAACCAAGATGTAGTCGCAAAGATCGAATAGACAATCATGTTGATACCTCCGAGCAACAGGGACAGATCATGCGAAGCGCCGATTGAGTGTTCGAAGAGGAGAGGAAAGTAGTAGATGACCGCATTGCAGCCACCAATCTGCTGCATGAGCTGTGATGAAGCGCCGAGCATCATCCGTCGGAAATGCTGTGTTTTTCCGTTTGTGAAGAGGGCGCTGAATGGTGTGATTCCTCCTTTGTGGCCAGACGCGCGGATACTGTCCATGATGATGTGGGCTTCGAAGCGTGTCTCACTGTCATCAATAGCATGCCCACGGAGCGCCGCAATCACTTTGGCTGCGTCCTCGTGTCGATCCTTGGTCAAAAGCCAACGTGGCGACCTAGAACGGGTGGAGAAGGTTAGTATGTTCCTCGCACTGGATATGGGAGTATACTAACTCTGGAAGCCAGGTCATGCCAGCCAAGAGAATAATACAGAAAACGATCTGGAAAGCGATAGGGAAGCGCCATGTGAAGTTGTCGCTTCCGTACGAGCATCCATAATCCACCCAGTACGCGATGAGCGTACCAAAGGCAATGACCCCGCCCTCGATGCAGATCAAGAGACCATGGTTTTTCGTCCTGGAGCATTCGGCTTGGTATGTGGGAATTGTAGCAGTGTTCATGCCATTGCCAACACCAGTGACAATGCGTCCGATGACGAACTGTGCGGTGGCATTATGGCCCTTGAAAGCAGTCACTTGTATAATGGTACCAACGATCATAGTCGCAGCGCCTATCATGATTCCTTTCCGTCGCCCGAGCGCGTCACCAAAAATGAGCATTGCTATGGCTCCGAACAAGCAGCCAATCTCGTAGATCTGTTGGGTTCAAGATTGAAAAACGTCAGTGTGAGTTCAATCTAGAATGAGAGCTATTGCAATTACTCACCGCGGTCACGAACCCTTGCCAAGTCGAGTTGTGCAGAGTTTCTGGGAAGTAATTCATGAATGGGTCCGCTGAAATGATGCCAGACATGACGCCCTCTGTAGTACGAATGTTAGCACATCCAATCGTCTAGTAGTGGAGTCTTGCACCCACGGTCATATCCAAAAAGCAGGAAACCAGTCGTCGCAATGATGGAAACTGTTATGTCCAGCGCTCTACCTCGCATTCCCATGAAGCGAGGGTGCGCAACCGCAACCGCAGAAGAATCTGCCATTTTGACGTACTGGCGACAGCCAATATCCGCCTGTGGTTCTGAAAAGGCGTGTTCTGATGTCTCGTGTAGGTACCCTAGGGCGAACCACTGGCGATCAAAAAGTGTGGAGAGATGGCGGGGAAGATTGGGGCCCCATAGGTTTTATGTTCTCCACACATCTTGATCCAGACGTTCCTCCACTGCGCTAGCTTGTGATCAGCACAAAGCATAAGCTGGTACAAAGCACAGGGTAGAGGAGAAGTATGGAGCTACGCAACGGCCTCGAAGACGTCATTCGCTGAGCTCTGCCGAGATATCTCCATATGGTGATGCCGAAGAAGTTCCTATATGGTATTAGCATAATAGGTACTCTGATGCCGAGGCAGAATTCTGTTGCAGGTTGAGCCGCTGGGGCGGCGTCACAGTACATCCATGCACAATGGCGGTTGGCACCGTCTATCCCCGGTGGGTTGAGGTAATAAGGAGCGAGAGATAGTTGGTGGGATTGGGCTGCATGTGTTCCCGTGACGGGCAGCCAGCGTGATGCTGGTTAGTCTGCCTGTTAAGCGTAAGGATAATGTATGCATCCCCGGAAGGCTAGAACGGACTCAGCAAAACTTGGTGCAACGCTGCGATGGAACATCAGATCGCCTGTAGAAAATGTGAGAGAACAGCTGGATTTTTGGAAGTTGTGACCAAGTCGTGAAACGATGGTTCTTTCACGATACTACGGCATCGCTGACAAGGGACGGGATGAACCACGCTGTTTACTCCTGGACGCAATGCCGAGAAGCGGTACCGATGTTTGCACAAGCAAGGGTGGTTTCTAGGCGTTGCAAAACTGGGGCGCATTATCTTGAGAGCTACCTGCGTAGATACTCAGCTCCTTCGAGCAAATGCAATGACGCGCTCTTACGATTACCATGTGATCAAGCTTATGTGCCATGTACTCACCTGGACAGCTGCATGGACTATGATGTTTCCGTCCGGGCCTTTCTTACAGAGAGAAATGCGCGCCTTCGCCCAAGACACGAGTCGTCTATCGCAAATGTTACGCTGAGGGTTTTCCCCAGATTTTACGATCGGGCGGTTGTGGGATCATGCCTCGGTAGTGGTGGGTACGTGTCCCGTCCCCATCCATGTTCGATGATCTTGCATTCCCACTCGGTCTTTACCAGGATGTCAATTGACAACACCTCGGTATAGGCAGAGACCATCATGTGATTTAAACAGACGCGGAGATGGTAGTTCGGACGACGTGAGGGGTATATCACCGCCGCTGCAGTGTAGATAAAGGGGACGATGCACCTCAGTCGCAAGAGCCTAGCCCACAAGTTTTCCCACGCTAAAATAAGCTCCCGAAACTTAAGTCAACCATATCCACGACTCTTCAATCTACCTTGTACACGCGCAACCTTTTACCTATGACTGCAATCAAAAATATGAACGTGATCGGATACCAAGCTCTGCTTTCACCAGGCGTCTTGAACGGATGCTTTGACGCCGCCTATACTCTGCACTATGCTAATGTCTCTCAACATTCGCCTTGCGCTCAGGGCGCAAGTGTATTCACTAAACGGAACTGCATCTTCATCGACCACACGCGCGTTTGACCACGATTCGCTCTGTTTCACCCTCCAACGGTCAGCATACCCGGTCTCTCTGTGAAACATCGCAGCAAACTACCTTCACACTTGAATACCGCTGCTCTCATACTATATCAGCTATGCCTTACCTACTCCTACACTCTCATCTACCACACACAGCAGGTTAGCTGAACGCACGACCTACAACAGTTAAGTTGAGAAAAAAGACGAGCACAACGACATTCTTACGCTTTGAGTTCGTCGCCAACGAAATCTTTCCCAATCCAAATCTTTTCAACACTCGGTAAGATGAATCCCTTCGGCGGCTCAAGCGGTGACGATTTCTTTGGTGATGGTGGTGGCAGCGACTTCTTCGGTGGTATGGGTGGCGGCATGGGACGCGGTGGCTCAATGGGAGGCCCAATGGGAGGTATGGGTGGCATGGGTGGCCCGATGAGAGGGCCGATGGGTGGTGGTGAGATGGGACGTGGAGGTCCTATGGGTCCGATGGGTGGGATGAGCGGTGGCAACCCTCGCCGAGGGGGCTACTCATCTTTCTCCTCCTACGATTCCTCGCGTCCAGAAGGTCAACAGTTTCAGGAACATCATGAGCCTTTCGGCGACAATGCTCAAAGCGGGTATAGCCACCAACGAGCTCCACGCAGTGGGGGTGGCGGTAGAGGCTTCATGTTCTCTGGCCTAACACGCGCAGACAATCCCTTCCGCCGTCAAGTCGGCGGCAATCCAGCCGGTGGATACAATGCGTCTGCACGAGAGGAGTCTAGCTACCCACATATGGGCCGTGAGGGTCCCCAGTACGCTTCGCGGTACGAAGAGTACCCACGTAGTCATGGTTCGTCTCGTCGCCAACCACCACAGCAAGCCTACTACGATGATGAGTCGGACCCCGACGAAGACCCTCGACAGCGTCAGTATTATGCTCCTCAGCACCCGTACGGTGGTGGCGGTGCGCGTGGTGGCGGGGATGGTGGTAGACCAAGTGGTGGACGGCTGTTCAACTATGATCGTTTCGGCCGTCGTAACTAAATGCGGCGAATAGCCAAGGACGTAGGAGCTGTGCTACTATCGCGGTTCCCTTCTTTTCGTTGCATGCTTCAAAGCAGTGTAGCTTCATGGCGTTTAGACATTGTTCTTCTCTTTTCACGCAGCCTCAGAGCGATTTCTCGAGAATAATGCAAATTTGTATTATGAGCTATGTTGCCATCGACGGTGATGATAGCAAACCAAAATTATGAGATGAAAACCTACTATGTCTCACCATGAACAAGTCTATGTATAGGACAATGACAGTCCTATTTTCGACAAGTTCAATGTCCTTCAAATGCAGCGCGATGAATCAAGCTTTGTGTACGCCATGCATGAGTTCGGCGAGTCGAATGAAAAGTGGCTGGTAATTCTTACCGGGCAGGCAAATCATAACTTATTGCTGATCTAGATGCGACGTTGCGAGAGATCAGAAAGAGAAGTCATGGCGAGGCTGCGCGGAACCCCTGCCGCACCCATCTACCAATCAGCTTCTATTGGTTGCTGCTGACACGTTAAAAACACCCCTTTCTACGCAAAACTACCGATTCGTGACTTGGACTAGAGATGTCGTGACCAACTGCTCACCAATGCGCTGTTGGGCGCCAAGACACGTGCCCCATGTTCCGGTAAAAGCTTCTACCGTGGCAGGGCAGCAGCTCGCGCGTACTCGCACGACTGTGGTGTGATCTGGATCGCCCAGACCGGAAGGGATTCTCGAAGCCTTAGGCGCAATCGTGTTATGGAGCATTCCGCACAAACATCAATAAGAAGACACTAATATTACTTGAAAATTGTCTATGACCGTCTCATCCATCTTCTCGACGTGCCTCAGTATATTGGAAAGACGTTTGTAAGCCGGGACCGGAAGCACGCTTTCAAAGCAACATCTAAGCACGCAAACAATTCCTAGCGTCGAGGCAGCCTTAACCGCACTCCACAAAAGCCTACCCACACTTGACGTCGCTTGCATACAGCGCTCATCTCCACGTGAAGTCCAGCCGCGGCCGTAGTGTGAGTACCTTTTGTTCCCCCTTGCTGAGGCCTTGCAAACGAGGCCCTACTAGGCAGCCACGTTGAGACATATTTATATCCCCAACACTGCCGAGTCATCTTCTCTCAAGCTTTGCTAACTCTCTGATGACGAAAAAAGTGTGTTAGACACATAGTTCAAAGCAAGCACGCGACCAAGACCCCACCGAAGCCGAAACCACCGAACCACATCGCGGCCCCACATCGGTCTTCATAAGGCTGATCAACCAGCTACAAACCACGAAACAAAGACACTGCCGGGCTACAACACTTTACACATCGTTCTCTATTGAGTCTGAACACTTTTCTCCGTCTTTTGTTCTTCATATTATACAACATGGCCATCTCAACACACGCGCTCTCCCAGATTCGGCAATACTCCACACGCGTACCTCGCGATCCGCACTATAAAATCAAGGCTGCCCTCGCAACGAGCTACGTAGTATCTGCTCTTGCACTTCCCTTTGTGCCACCGCTTCTGGAGACTAGGAGAGCCAAGGCAGATGGAAGTTATCTGACAAGGTACGTTAGGGCACAAGCATGTGGCTGGGGATGTTGTTAGGTGGTAAGGCAGGGCGGGATACCGGATTAGGAAAGAAGGAATTAGACCATGAATAGAATGCTAACGATTCAAATAGGGAAAACGCGTATTGCTCATCACAGTATCTCGGGTGCGCACGATGAGGATTCTTTCTAGGTAAGTTTGATCTGTTCTTGAGAGATCGCGATTGAAAGCTAATATATCGTAACAGGTTCTGATTCTCCCTTCTATCCTGACGCCCTGGCAGCGCATAATTTTCCTACGATCTATTCATACATACCCGGCGTTTATTCATTTACAGAGGACATTACATAGAATTATAGCTACAGACGCTCCCACAGCAACGTCTTAGTCTACATCATCATTGGCAGGCTGCTGTTGACTTTCCACCGCGTCATGCATCTCATCATCATCTTCGTCTTCAGTCTCGTCCATCTCGTCCTCACTAGCTGTCTCCCACACTGTAACATAGAGCTCTCCGTCTTCTTCAAACACGTGATTGCCGTCTTCATCGACAAAGTGTCCGTCGTTGTCTAGCTCAAGATCAAGCTCCATGTCGTCCTCCTCGTCAAGATCGTCAACCTCAAAGTCGTCGTCACTACCAACGTGCTCCACACTTTCATCATCGGAATCGAACATGTCCATGAACGCGAGTCGGCGACCAGGCTTTACGAACCTGTGCTTGAGGACGTGCAGAGTGCGTCGCGTCTCTCCCCGTAATCTATTGATGTCCGCGTCACCAAGTTGATCCGTCTCGGGTGCTTCGCTTATAGACTCTGGTGCTATCCGCGCGCCTTCTTCTGCCTCTTCGTGAACTATGTGGCGGTGGAAGCCGACAACGCTCGCATCGTACACGCATTCGACGATTGGGATGGGCTCGTCATGAAGATATGGTGGTATCAGGCTAGGGCTTTTGTGCAGCTCTATTGACATCTTGAGATTGATGCCAGCCTTGAATAGCTTGTATGCTTTTGCATGACGATTGCGGAGGCGCTCATCGTCGCAGATGTAATCAGTGTCGGACAGGTCGAGCCTGAGTAAAGTCAGTGCATGATCTGGAACGAACTTTGAGTGATTCTGTTAAACTTACCAGAGATAGGACGATTGCAACAATTCTAGTGTGTTGAGAGACGGTAGCGCAGCGTAGTGATCAAAGTCAGGCGGCTGATCCCAGAAGTCGATAGGAACGTCCCAATGCCGGCGAACGCGAAGTGTTTCCAGACCGGGTGGCGCTAGGTCGCGGTTCATTACGATAGCCTGATGTAGAAAGGAGTTTGTATCGCATTCCATATATGTGAGAAGGTGGAAATCACGCATGCCATCACCAGGTGGTCGTATGCTGCGGAGCACGTGGGGGCTTCTATCGATGCGCCAGCCGGGATTAAGGTGCGTGAGGCTTTCTAGCGAATGTGCAACTGCGGAGAGAGCTTGCAGCGATCCGCACGGATCTTTGGTTAGTACGGGCTTGACTTGTCTAGATCGGTTGACGTTGAAGACGTTTTCACCGAGAGTCAGCGTCTTCAGCCGTGCCGGTGTACGCAATATGCTCAGCAAGCTTTTGGGCTGCAGCACGCACTCGTCAAAGACAAGAGAAGTCAGAGGGGTTTGTCGGGTATGCGACGCAAGTTCAGGGATGTCAGAAGCCGGGAAGGCAACACAGGAGACGTGAAGGTGTTTGAGCGCAGGGTGTCGGAAGAGACAATGGAAGCCTTCGAGGTTCCAAAAGTCAGTATCAGCGCCGTGTGAATGGATGGTCAAGCTCTCAAGAAGACCTAGGCCAACCGTCCGCTCGACATGTTTTCCCAACCGTCGCTCCGCCATGATCTTATCCGCCTCGACTGGACCATCGACGCAAGCTGTGTCAAGCGCGCGGCGAAAACGTTGCATGTCTCCATGAACCCAAGCCTCGCCACCAGCTCCCTCCCAATGGAAGTTGTCGTAAGGGCTCTCAATGTGCCACTCCCTCAGATTGACCATGCGAGCTACGCACTCGTTGAAGGTTGTCCTTATTTCGTCACTGTCCTTCAAACTGTTGTCCTTGTATTGATACAGAATCTTGAGTGTTTGCACGGCGCGCACGCGTTCATGACGCAATGTGAAGGCCTCGATGATGGCGTGAAGGTTCTTTACGGAGAGAAGCTCGATTCGCTTGTAGAGTCGCTCTTCGGCCAGATGTTGCATACCGCGACAAGTGCGAGCAAGAGCGCATAGTGTTTTGTTGTTGTCTTCGAGATGGTCGATGACTAGGAGAGCGAGTTCGTTGGGCAGCGTCGATTTCGCAGTGCCCAAAAGGTTGGACGCCATGGCGAGCGCGGTACTATGAAATGGCAAAGCTTTTCGTATGTGGCAATGCAGATGGCTCGCTGCTACGGGAAGTACTCGCGTCGGTTCGGTCGACAGATCGTTGTTGCCTGAGCGGTCCTGGATACCCTCAATCAATACCTGCTGGGGCAACAAAGCGTGTGGTTGAAGGGATGTTGGGAGATAATGCTGGCGGACGTACTTGTTCGTATTTGGCGACTGTGAATTAACGTCGTGAGATCTGGCGAGATGGTTGCTGTGTTACGTGAGAAACGCGATTTCACCTAGACCAACTAAATTATCAGAATATGCAGGGACAATAACGAGGGGCCGAGGCGGGGGTCGAACAAAGCACGAGCCAACCAATGACGTCGACGCGTGGCCGCTTCATCCCTGTCGAGTCCATCGCCCGTCTCTCATTCCTTTACCACATCAATGTGTTCCCTCCTTCCTCCTGTCAAAGTACAACTTCACACTCACCTAAGTCTTGTGTTGATTTCCGCACAGCATTCATGGATTATGATGATAGGAGTCGCCATAGAAGAGAGGAGCTCAACACGCGTGCTAGCAACAGTGCGACGGGACTGCATGCATCGAGAGCGCTCTGGGAGACCATTACATGTATCCAAGCTCCAAGGAAGGCAATACGATTTTCAGTTTCACCTTCACTCATTCTCACAAGATGACTTATTTGATGGTTGCCTGAGGCCTACTATTGTTTCCATGTGTAGAGTGACTTCGTATTCTCCACTGTCACTACGCTAGCAGTTACTATGGTGAGCACATCGCTATCCTTATAGAGCTGACCTACCCAAGGTGGGTACAACTTCTTGCTTGCTTCATGCTCAACGCTATCTGAGTATGGCCTTTTCTAGCCTCTGCAAGTAGCAACACAACTCCCCTACGGCCATGCAGCGTCCACCGAGCCCAATGTCGATGTATACTGGCTCGCCGAGCTCGAAAGGCAAGAACAAGCGCGCAATAGACGAAAGTCCTCCAGCTACCGACCGACCCCAACAGCCATCCAAGATCGACAGTAATGCGCCCCGCATCCTCCGCCGCTATCAACACCGCCGTCGCAATGTCGCTACTGAGGTATGGGGCCCCGAAATACCTTCTACAACCTCACCCCGAGCCTTCGCCGATGCACCAGCCCCAAAACAGCCTTTCAGCGTCTACAAGGCTATCCTTCGACATCCGAACCTCTTCTTCCAGTTTGCGCTCCGCCTGCCTTACCCTTCCATCATCGACCTCTATGCCATCGACAAAGAGTTTCATTATCGCTTAAATCTATACAGTGTCTCCCTGATACACGACTATGCTCGCTACCATGCACCGCTCGCAGGTTACATCTTCAGCTGGGTACTGTATCCACGACTATGCATTTCAGACCCTATGCTCAGACCCATGGACGGACGAGAGTGGCTGGCGCGCGATGTACCGGGTTTTCGCTGGGTGGGCATGATACTCTGGCGCCAAAAGATTGTACGCAGTATTCTCACAACACTAGGTTTGGAAGGTCATCGCGTACCGGCCAGCTGCGAGGGTGCGCTGATGAAGTTCTGGGGTCTGATGGAGTTAAACACCACGAAACTGCGCCTTTCCTTCCTCGATGACGCGGATATCTGGACAGACATCGATATCATCAGCATTCAGCTCTTCTTCGTCAAACTCGACATGCGCTTCTCCGACCCAATTCTCGGGAACGGCGTCTGTCAGCTAGGATCGCTGCTGCTTGGCCAGAGAAGTTTGGAAACGCTGTGGAAAGTGTTGAGCGGAAAGTTGAAGTTGGACTATGACAACACGAGCGACATCGTCGTGAAGACGTACCTCAACGAAGATCTTGACGTCGAAGCACATCCCTGGCTCGAAGACGAAGGCGATACTGGCGTTCCAGAGGAGCTGTGGGGTCTGCTGAGTCTTGAAGGCTGGCACGAGGACGGCGTACAAATGATGCATGCCGTAGATCTGGTCATCACTGAGGGTGTGAGAAGAGGGCTCAATGTGCAGCAGCACTACCTAGACTTTGTCCTTTACGGTTGGGTAGATGAGAAAACTGGGGAGAATGTCCCGATACCAAGGCAGTTGAGGAAGGACAAAAAAGTAATAATGCCGAGTAAAGGCTGGCCGTCAAAAGAATTACGACAGGATATGATCGAGAAGCTGGACGTGCGCTTTGGGTTAAGGGGAGGAGACGATGGCAATGCGATGGACCTGAGCACTTGAAAGGGTACCGAATTTTGACAAACTGACACAACCTTCAATCCACTTACTTACTTAGTATGTCTACAAGCTCACTACGTCGCTCAAATCAGGGTCTTCATGTTATGGTTACTTGATTTTCTTCTCCAACTATCTGGAGAATCTGCGATGACTGCGGCCTTTCAACGTAACTGAGCAGCTTCGTTTTCGCTTCGAAGTCCTGCAATCTCATTGGCCCTTCGTTTCAGTACTGTCCTCCGATTGACTGCGAACATGGTGGATGCCGACGTATCTCGACTAGTTCTCGCCTCTTGCGCGCTTGTCACTTCTTTGCCATGTTGAGAGCTGTGTCCATGATGTCCTGCCGCTTGACCTTGCCTCCGTAGCCTTTAGATACCATCTGAGTACACATGTCCTTCGCACTGTTGATGATCTTTCGCTTCTTCTCGTTGATGTCTGAGGGACTGAATTTGAAGAAGGCCTTGTCGGTGTGGGCCTCAATGATGGCGACGTACTTGAGGGTTGGTGGAGGACTCATCTAGTCTTAATCAGCGCCCTGAAAACTCGAGGGGAGTTTGTTGCACTTACCAACAGCGCTCAGGCTCTCGGCCTGTCGCAACACGTCTCTACTCTCTGTATCTAAGGTACGTTCCTGATACTTTCCACTAAACTCCTTGGCGAACATCCTTTTTGGGGCGTTTTCTCGCATCCACATGAATTGAGTCAAGAACCGGCGATATTGTAGCTTGTTTCCCTCTGAATTCTTAAGTAATTCCATCTGATGACACGAAGAATCATACCAGCGCCTTCTGTCGTCCTGCTCGAGGAGGACGATCCAGGGATTCCCCATAGTCCCGTTTTCTATCACCTTTATGCCGTTGGTGGAGAAGCCAGGTAGCAACTCTAAATATTCTCCGAGTTCATCAAGATCTGATCGGAACAGAGGAGAACGCTCTAGCCAAGATGAAGCGACTTCATGTAATTCACTGACTGTGCGGTGCTTGAGAGAATTCTCTTGTACCACAAGAGGCCATCGTGCGATGTCGCTAATCAAGCTTCTGCCATTGGCAATGAGCGTTTGAAGGCACTGAGCGTCCTAATGGTCCTGATGAGTATCTAGTACATCGGTAGGAAGGAATGAGACGATGTTGTCCAGTACGTAGATGCAAGCCACTACAGTTTCGACCGGAACGACGACGAAGTGGATCAATTCGGAGGATGTTTCGTCCATACTGGCGTTTGTGCGTCTAACCTAGGTTTTGCCGGCGCAGAAGAGAATTTGGGAGATGGAAACACGCGTTGGGAAGTCGCAGTGTTTTTTGAGCTCAGACAGAAGCCCCACTAGAGCAAACGGCAGTAGCGACCGTACGATGGTAACTCGTTTGATAGTGAACGATAAAGAAAATTGCAGCATCCTAATCGGTCCACTGGCTGAAATGGGGAGATGAGAGGTGAAGGTGAAGAACAGTGATTTCGAGCCACTAGTAACTCGCTACATCACAAGACGAAGAACAAATAGTCCGCGCGAGAGATCAACGATCGTTTGAAACACGGTAGTCTGCGACAATCAAAGAGCTTTCAAACAGAGTCATATTCAACATATATCACCATAGCATCATTACACTGAAACCTCCTGACCAGAGAAGACATATTGTTTACGTGTATAACAATCGTGCCTCTTCGAAAGTTTGACAAGCGCCATACCCATCAGATCTTACACACTGAACAAACCAACTCCCATGTTCCCCAATCTTACGATTGATCGCTAGCACAAGCCATGTTGTTCCCTGATATCCTTGTTGATTTCCTTAACGATCTGGTCTAAGCGCGTCTTATAGAAATCCAAACCCCTATCATCTTCTTGGAACTTCTCAATTTTCCCCGCAAGGAATACCGCCTCCCAGAACCGAGGATGTTGACGGATATGTTCACGGATGTGAGGATAGCGCTCTGCGACATCATCGTTGTGTTTGGGTATGGTCGTAGTGTTCTGAGGTACGTTGACACTGTGGCTGGGGCTAGGGACGGTGCTCCGGCGCCCATTGTGACCATGATTAGAGGCAGCTGGAGTGGTGGAGTTCCGGGACAGGCTGGCGCTCCGAGAGTGACCCTCTTGGTGGGGGTATTCGACTGCAGAATATTGTTCATGATATCCAAAATCGTAAGGAGTTAGTTGGGGATATCTAGACCAAGCTACAACGCGAAGATTATATGCGCAGTCTTCTAAGTAGAATGCGGCGGCCAGAACACGTAGTTGATCTTGCCGAAGCATGTTGTCTGTGTAGTCGGGGTCGTAAATGGAATGTCCCATGGGCGAAGGTTGATGACCATGGCCATGAGAGCGACTTCTCCGTCGAATCCAATTCCAACCATTGTTCCGGCGAACAAGCTCATATCGAGGATCATAGCCGCCACGCATAGGCATCGTGATTGGTTTAAGTCCGTGACGGGATTCAATGGTTAAGGTCGAGGTCGTAAGCGGTTGACCCTGGGTACTCAAGTAGTGTTCGCGCGAAGGAAGAGTATTTGGAAGAGAAGAGGGTCTGTGAGGTGTTTATCGTACAGTAGTGAGCCAACCCTTGAAATAAACCTATTCGCTCAAGGACTAATGGCAGCTGCTGCCTAGTAAGTGACAACAAGGAGAATAGCAATGGAATAATTAGACTCTAGCACTGGAAATGCAAACGGAGGCGAAGTGTGTGCCAAGTAGCACAGGGAATATGTGAAAAAAAAAGAAGCACACGGTTCAGTGTTTCACGGAGACTATGAGCAACGATAATATGATGAAGATTGAGTATATACGGAGGAAAGGTCTTCTCATGTCATCCTGTGACTCTTTCAACAATGCAGAGACCATCATGGATATTCAAGCACCCGAAAACGCCGTGCAATATGCAGAGAACAGCAACGATACATCCGTGCAAACATGACATAGCATCAACGTAGCATGTAACTCAAGTCCGGCAGCCCTGCTACAATGTTTTGAATTACCTGCTCTTCCTCGTTCTTCCTTCGTTGTGCAGAGTTTGTAGCTCCAGTCAGCGGTTGAATCGACGGGGGAGTTACATTCCGTGGGGGTGAAGATCGTGTGAAAGTTTTCGCTGAAGACGCGACACTGGAAGGCCTTGGAGGGGTTTCGAAGACTGAGAAAGGATCTGATGGATCGCGCGTGGCCTGCGCAGGCGCTCTTGACGCTGGTGCCGATTCAAAGAAAGAGAAATCAGCATCCGCCCATGCATCTACAGTAGACTCATTTGGCATCGCCGGGAATGGAGGCGGCGTGCTCGGCCGGACGGGTTCTGGTTCTAAGGTACTAGATGCGAATGCAGAGAAATCGTCGTCTTGCGTGTCATTAGTCTCCGCAATCTTGACTTCGCTAGAAACAACTTCATTCGCATCGGGCGTGTCATGTGCTGGTGATGTATCAACTTGGACTTGGTCCTGTTGAATAGTCTCTCGAACTGGCTTCGACGAAACCTCGATCTTGATCTTTTCAGGTGTGACAGTGGTAGACCGCTTAGCGGATTTCAAGCGTCCAGGTCCAATAGGCCCTTGTTCAGCATTGAATGGAACAAAACTTTTCGGACCAAAGATCGCCGACGTAGGCGATATGGTGCTTCGTAGGCGCACGATATGCATTGCGTCAGCTGAACGATCCTGGGTCGGTGGAGTCGTTGGAAGTGGCGCAGAAGTTGACACAGTGCTGTCTAGCGTCGCTGGTATCGAACTTGGGAAGGCTGAAGGTGGAGTAGACACTGTAGGGCTTGATATCATCTCACCCCAATCATCTTCATCATCTGTAGGGACATCGGTACGTTGTTCTTGATTGAGAGTGTTGGTGTGAGGAGTGCTGAGCTCTTCCCAGGGACTTGCTAAGGTCGTGGTTGGCGCAGGAGGTGGGATTGCTTTCGTTGCGACAGCCGGCGTTTCAGTCGACGTTTGCCCTTGTGTAACCCCAACGTCGCGTGCAAGGTCGATCGAAACCGCACGAAGCTCCTGTGTCTGGGCATTGACTACAGCTGTAGGCTTCGGCACGACAGGTGGAGATATGGAGCGCAGGCTAGGACTGTCCTGCTTCCAAGGGTCTGTTGTGGTTGTCGTGGAACTCCAGTTGAAAGCGATCTGAGTGTCAGCAGACACAGGAGGAAGGCGTTGTCTTGCCGGTGCAGCTTCGATTACTCGCGGTGTGGGAACGGACGTCTTCGTGCGCAAATGTCCTCTTGGGTTTATAGGTTCTGGAGGTGCTGGTGTGTCCCAGTAGAACGAAGCTCTAGCCCCTGGACCTGTGCCAGAAAGACGGTCCTCACGAGCCCATCTTGCTACCGTCTTGTTTACTTCGGATCTGACCTCAGAACCCGCCCATGTGACCCGAATATAATTGTCGTCCCCGTTCCCGCTATTGAATTCTCTCATGGTTTGCTTACGCGTCAACCTGTACCAAGCCTTGCGCCCAGACGTTGAGTATACCGGGTCGTCTGGAGCTTCTTCTGGCTCCTCTGCAGCGCCATCAGGAGGAAAGAGTTCGTCAAGAAGTGTTTTGTCGAGTTCGTATGCACCGGCGTTATGCGAGGCGGCGGCGGCGGCGCTCGAGGAGGCTGCAGGCGAACCAGGGCGAGACGTAGAACGCTCTGATAAGGCCTCTTTTGTATCACCCGCAGCGTCTTGTGTGATCTTTGACTGACCAGAAGGAGCTTCTGTCAATAGAGTATCTTCTGTGGAGGTTCCAAACTCCTCGTCTGCACTATCGTTGCTCGAGCTTTCGACCTCGGCTTCGCTATCCTCGTCATTGGTTATTTGTGACTGGACCTCCTTCTCAGGTTCTGTTGCTTCTGCAGTCTGTTTCTTATTTACAGCCTCTTCCTCGAACGAGGTTCGCGGCGACTCGGGAGGTGCCTCGTGACGGCTCGCTTCAGACGGGGACGTAGAGGGTCGTGCAGAAGAGTCGTCATCGGGCTGTAATCGGTTCGAAGGAGCGACTGGAGCTTGATCAGAAGCCTTATCCAGCTGTATCGTGGTCGACGTGTCCGAAGTATCCGAAGCTACGTTGTCCGCATCAGAAGTGTCCTCCGTCTGTGCAGCCCACGTGTCTCCTTCCAGCGACAGGTTATCTTCATGTTTCTCTTCTATATCCCATCGCGGCCCATCTTCAATCGCATGCTCATTCTTCAGCGGACTCGGCTCAGCTATGCGCGTCTCCGTAGGTATAGCGACAGTCGTGTCTTGCTCAGATGACGTAGTCCAGTCTCCGAAACTCTCATCCTCATTGCCCCATCCAGCATCGTCCAGAAAACCGTTTAATAGCACCGGTGCGGGAGCAAGTGCAGGCGGCTGTGGTGCGGTCACCTCGTTCTTCGTCGGGGACTTTTGGTCGTCGGCATTGTTGTCTGCCCAAGGGTCGCCCCAATGATCCATGGTCGGGCTGCTGCGTCAAGCGTCATAGTGAGTCGCTTCTGCTAGAGAAGCATCACCAGAAACGCAAGCGATAACGAGTTAGTGTGAAAGGTAGGGCGCTGCGAACCGTCCAAGGCCAGCTTACCTCGGGGAGGTGCAGCTTTCTGCCAAGCCGGGAGTCGGACTTTATTCAGCCGGCAAACTTCTCTCCCGAGCAGCGTTCATTCACGACTTTGACATTGACCATGCAACAACAGAAAATCAGAGCGCGAACACCTATTTCAAGGGATACGTTCTGACACTCGCTTATGGAGGGAAAAGTTTCATCTGGACATTGCATCTCACGGCTTCACTTCTTGCTCCATCATTTGTGTAGAGGAACATGACTAACAACGCAGCACATACATTGTAAATTCATGATATTCTCATGGCTTCACACCTTCGTCAGTGCTTTCTCTAAGGTTGCCTCTCACAACATGGTATCTCCTCCCGAACCTACTATGTGCATCCCAACCAAGACTCCACGATGCAACCCCCCACAAACCCATGTTCGTAGTCCGCCAACTGCGCAATACCACAAAGCAGCTAGCAAAGTATGCTCACAGAGATAGTCGGCAGGACGATTTAGCGGTTCAGGATAGTTCGGGAAACTAACATATCGTACGGGAGCTATCTTCGTGTTCTTATGGCTTTTGTTTCTATTTTAGATTGCTTTCAATGGGTCACTGTTGCAGTCATTGTGGTTGTTGCTTGCTATCTACCTTGTCGAATTGCTATCACTTATACGAACCCAAGAATGATAAGCATTCAGCTGTCGCGCAATGCATTGTTATCAGAGACCTGGTTTTGCCCGATGCAACAACGTTCACGCTCTTCAATCTCAAAACCTGACGTTTAGAGCTTTCAAGACTTCCTTTCAGATTCATTGGCTCGTTAGATAAAGCTCATCTCTTCCTTCATTACGACTGCGTAGATCCATCGTGATCATTATACCGGATGTCCGCCATTCCGTGCGCTGCACCAACCCTGTGGTAACCTTGGAGTAGACCCACTGTGGGCCTGGATCGTCTTGCAGTAGATAGCTGTCTGTGCGTGAGTAAGACGGGTTGCACGGACTGTCCAAGTGGGTCATCATCCCAAGTATAGACTGACTGTCAAGCATCACACATTATCGGTTCAGAGTTGAGGTTCGTGCAAGACGCGACGTGAATGACATTCAGTTTCTCAGGTCGCTATGCAAGAAGACTGCTCAGATGCTCGCATCCGTAAAGAACATAGAAAATGAGCGCTCAAGATGTAAGCACATCGAGGCAAGCCATAAACGCCGGATGAACATGCAACGCCGAATACCAAGACGTCTAGAAGATTATTACTCCATAATCCACCGCTTTTCGCACAATGCTTTCGTTATCTTCTTGAGCTCTATTATCGGACTGACTCGATGATGGAAATGTCGTCTACTGCGTCCTCGTCCATGTCATGATGCATAACCTTCTTAAGACCATTGTCGATTTGAACGGCACCAACATCCTCTTTGGGAACCCAGAATAATTGGACCATGCCAAAGATAGCAGCAGCAGCAAGGGCGAACCAGGCTGCCGCGGATCCTCCGAGGGAGTAGATCAATCCGATAAGAGGTGAGGAAATTGTTCTCGCCAGACAGCAGGCCGACATAGCGATACCATTGACACGACCAAGGACGAGGGGCGATGGAACGGCGTTCTTCATCAGGATCAGGGCGCATGGGAACACGATGATACCGAAGAATGCCTGCAGGAAAAGCGAAAGGTAGATACCCGGGGTCTCGAGCTCATGGGGAAAGGCGCTGATGAAGGGCACAATCAGGTAAGTGATCGGGTAAAGAATAATCATCCAGATGAATGAGTTCCAGACACCAGCCCATTCGACAAAGATAGGGAAGATGAAGCCCTGGACAAAAAGAGTGATGAAGCCGTTGACCGTGAGGAATTTCCCGACGTCTGGTAGATCCATTCCTAGTCCGCCCTTGAAATCTAGGCCAGTCGTTGTAGGTGTATCAAGGATGTAAACCGGGAGGATCGAGATGAAGGCCATTTGGTGGAAAGCAAAGATGGACATAGCGAGGACGATCATGACTACAGTTCGGTTGAAGGTCTTGCGGGGTTTCGGGGTCGGCCCACCGCGCATGGGTAGCACGTCCTGCTGGATCTTGATCGAGTGCATGGTTCCAAAAGATGAACGGCGGATATCGAACCTTTGGTCGAAGGGCATGGGCATACCCTCTTCCAAGAAGGAAGCCCTTTTGCGGATGTGTCGAATGCTGCCAGAAACGGACATGGAGGCCAACCTGTCGCGCGTGTAGCTAGCAATGGAGCCACGGTGCCGCATAGAGCCAGCGGTTGAGCCTCGGGCCTCTCGGTTCGCATGCGGGTGGTTTGCGGGTGGTCCAAGAAGACGGCTTCGCTCGTTAGCAGGGGTTTCGTTGATGGTATCCAGGTGGTCGTGGTAATCATGCTGTTCATGGTGGTCCGCGATACCGTTTGCTCCCTCCTCCTTCTCTTCACGGACAAGTGTTTCCTCCAAGAAGATCATACCCTGGAGGATGGCTAGCATAATCCCAATGGCTGCGATGAGGTTAGGGAGAAGATACGGGTAGCGTCCGAAGAGACCATGCTTGTCGAAAGCATGAGGGTAGAGTCGTGCCGGTTGGGCGAGGAAACCACCCATTGCTGAACCGATAATACCGCCCACCGTCCAGACGAAGGGCTGTGTCGCATATGCACGCGCTATCTCTGGTTAGATGGCCATGCGGGATGGGGTATTGCGCGATTTACTCACGCTCGTGGGCCGGATTCTTGACCGACTCTGCGACCATGGTTTGCATGATTGCAACGTTTCCATTCAATGCACCGCCGATAAAGCGCGCAAGCAGCGCGACCCAATATGTCTGCGCAACACCGAACAAGAGACTTGACAGGGCAACGCCGAGCAGACCAATAAGCGCGACGGGTTTCCGGCCGTAGACATCAGAAACCATTCCCCATAACGGGGCTGTCATGGCCTCGGCGATGGCGTAAGCGGACACCAAGAGTCCAGCGTAGAAAGAAGCATCGTGTTTGCTAATTCCCAAGTCCTGAACCATGAGGGCCGAATAGGCCAGGATAGAGTTGAAAGCGAGAGGCTCGGAGAATCGGCATATTCCTACGCGGTGGTCAGAAACATCCAATCACAATGACATCACTGCAGCCGCCACACATACCGAGAATAATGAGCTGCTTGGTGGGGAACGGCGCGTCCTTTGGATCGGGAGGCATACTGGCAGTATTACGATTACTAGAGAATGGAGGTTGAGGAGTTTCGCATAATAACAGAAGATGGGAATCAAGGTTTTACGGGCAACAGCTTATCATAGCGCCACTAGGTGAGAGCAAGCGCGGGCCGACAGATTCCCCTCAATGGATTCGCGACATGCACCGTGCCCCAACAACTAGCGTTTCCCGCATTCGCGATAAACGTGCTGCAGCCTCGCCGTTCCCTGTTAGATGCAGACACAAAACTCGCTTGTGCCGCCTCAATTCCGATTGCTTGAAAACCCCCGGCCGTTGAACTCATGTTTGGAAGCACCCTTCCGACGAGTGCGGCTGCGCATGCTGGGACCAATACACGCCAGCTCGCCGAACTCCGTCAAATTTGCCTGCCAGATTTGCTGTTTGCAGGTGTCAACCCGTCGATTGAGTTTTACTAGGCCAGATCTTGGACTTGCCCGGGGCGGGTTACCCTTGTCGTTCGATTCATACGTCATAGTGAGAATGACCGCCAAGGGGTGCTGCAGTTGAGGCAGGCAAAGCAACCCTGTCTCAACTATTGGCTTGCTCACCGTACTTTCCACGGTCGTAGCTTGCACGGCTGCCGCGGACCATGGAATCTCACCATTTGCTTTGTTCGACAAAGACATCGAAAACCAAAGCATCGATCATCCTGCTAGCAATGCCCAAACTCCACAGTGCGAGCATCTGAGAGGCCTGCGGGCAGTTCCCGCAGAGGTCGTGGTTCCTTTTAGATTTGTTGAGTAACATGTCAGGTCAAGCCCACGCGGAACTTGGTGGCGCTACCGAGCGTCACGAGGCATCCTTCTTTCGACACACCTTCCTGTGTGCTATGAACAATATCACTCTACTCTGCAGCCTCCGCGAAACCTCATATCTTTGAGTAGCATCCTGCACCAATGGCAGGCCAAGGAAATGACATGCATCCGCTTGCGTTATCTGCTGAGGCTCACGAGACCCAATCGCCATCAACACCATTGTCTACCCCGCGAGACCTGTCGCACCTCTTCTTGTAAGCGGTGTGACAGAGCACTACTGAGGTGCGGGTGCGGATCCGATCATCGCTGGTCTGCATTCTGGTGATGGTCTGATCATGTGATATCGCGTCAAGTCTAAGCTCAGCGGATACATTTACGTCAACGATCTTTTCTTTTCTCATTCACGATCGTATTTCGCACGCTACAGGCCGTACCTGCCCTCTCCACGACAACTACCGAGATGACACAAATCAACGCAGCCGCGGCTTCGCCTATCGATCCGATCGCTTTTACATGTTCGCTTCCGTGCGTGAAATGAGCAGCGATCCGTCTCATCTCCCAGTTCCGTGCCTGGCGCTAACAGTCCCATCAATACAAGGTAGGGGCTCTTCCATTGTTCTAGATGCTCTTGTTAGTTTGAGCTTGAATCATCTCGGTTTCACGTCTTTCACGAGTCAGCGATTATCCTCTGTGCCGCGTCGCAGGCAGTCCACGATTGGAGCATTGCGTTTCGATGGTTCGTTAATCTCATCCACCGTTCATCGAACGATCTCTATATTGCACTGCATCAAGCCACCATCTCCCATCTCTTTCATTGACGCGCCTAAACTTGAAGTCGTGACGAAGATGACTGCGACACCCATGCAGGTACCCACTTAAAGTGGTCTAGTCGGCTCGCTTCGTCCCGACCGCGACTTTCCAGCCCCTAGGACGTACCTTGGAAGACTGTCTTGTAAATGACAGCGTTATGCGGCGCCACGGCATAATGATTTCCTGCTATTCGACAACTGGAGCCACAGACCCCCACGCTATGTGCTGTCAATTCGCGCTCTACTTACGGCCTTGTTTTGGACACTTGCCCCTAACTCTTCCTGTCCTTCCAATGCTTCCGGCGGATTGTACGACTTTGACCTAAGCAGCACACGACGGATTACTATCGAACCCTCTACGGTCAACCCGCTGTTCTTATGCCAACAATGCTCACGAGCGTGTGTGTGTCAAGCTGAATTGACACTAGCAATCTATAGAGAGCCAGCATGCGTACAGGTGATGTGATTTCCTTGTCTACATCTGGCCTCAGGAAGTACATGATGTTAAAACCAGTCTTGGGAGTCGCTGAGATCTGAGAAGAGACGAGGAGCGCTGGCTTTATCACTACGGAGGTCGATGAGGAGTACTACCGAATGGATTATGTCGGCAATTTACGGCCCAGACTACGACATCGTGCAAGACGTCTACCTGGAGTCCGTCAAGAATGCATGCGCTAGATGGTTGACCCCGCTCATAGCGTTGTTAGTACCGTCCTCAAGCCACGAACATCACCGGTCACTAGTAAACAGCTTCCCAACCAACGTGTGCCTCCTTTGTTTTGCCAACGATTTCCAAGACTGGAATACCTACCGTTATACATATTTTCAACATAGCGCTGAACCACTTTTGCTATCCGTCAAGCACCAAAATGCCTAGATTCAATTGCCGCAGCCGTTTTCGACGACGGTCTACATCATCTCCTGCAGTCTGCCAAAGGAATTGTCTGCAATGACACCAAGGTTACTGTGAGAAGGATACGTCCCTTGTGCCAATACTCTCTGCGGCGGTCTAGTCGCCACTTGCGATAGTGGTTGTACCCATTCACTGTATTGTCGTTAATGTAACACAGTTGTCAATGCTCTCGAACCTATACTCAACCAAAAAGACATGGTCGTTATGGAGGTTAGAGAACTTGAGCAACCTACGCTTATCTACGACGCTTGGGAACTGCGCTGTTTGGAGTCGATGTCAAGTACTGTAGATGAGTTTAGCAAAGGCACTGAACGGTCAGTTGATAGTATCGAGACTCTCATGTCAGGCCACAACAATATGCACAGATTCTCTTACGCCAAAATATTACTGTAAGGGCCATCGGGTGGAAAATCTCTAAGCGGTACAGTATTTCATTTCCTGTTAGCCTATTCATAGTATTGTTCGAGTTTTCAAACATATATGGAGGCATAATACTCCCAGTTGACATATCAAATGACATCTTAGGTTTGCTATAAAGACCAATCAACACACTACAACACACTACAACACAAACTGATCTCCGAGAATCCTGCCTTTACTTCTCGCCAGAATCAGCTGTATTCCAATTTCCGCTTTGAACCCCATCCGGCCGCCCAAAGCGCAAAGTTCAGCGACTGCAATCTTGCGCTCAAAACATTGATCTGAAACTACCGCAAGCTCGTGGAAAGAACGATGCTCCTAGCAACAGAGACCACCACCACCAAGGCAGATAAAGCGCAAAGTGCGACCAGAGAACATCTCGATACAGTCCTAGATTAAAACGATATTATGCAAGAAATCGCTGTTCTAATCTCGAGCATAACTAGGTAAAGCTAGGGCCCTGTTTGCCTTGCTCCAGGAGTAAATAATAGAGTCGGAGAAGATTGACGAACTGCAGCTGAAATTATCGCATAGTTCCGATACTGGCTGTCAAGGTCTCAAGACTAGCCATATACCTATACTGGCTGGTATGCAAATGCTGGGGTGGGTAAAGAAGTTTGGTGCCTTTGGTGAGGGTCCCTATGGTTTCGTCAATGAAGTCAACAAGATAGGGGCGGGTAAGCTAAAAGATCATGATGCGGTTTGGAAGAAGGCGGCGGGTCTGAATGGCGATTCTGGAGATGATGAAGAATCTATCAAGCTTGTAGTCATATGGAGTGAGATGAACCTTTGAAGGCAACATGCAACGGTGGTAAATTCAGGCGGTTACAGATTTCATAATAAGTGGATAGTGCAAGAAAATGGCTAAAATCAGGCTCACATCATTCGCGAGGAGCTGAGACTTGACACATGATATGGTTTTCCGGACATCTACCTGCCACATTGCACAATTGCCCATGATGCGCGATGTCAGCTTTCTAAGTTACTCGGCCGTCGTCAGTTCTCGTTAAGGTGATACAAAAAAGAACACGGCACCGCCTCACTTTCGAAGCTTCATGGATTCTTTACCTATTCTATTTGTCATTCTACGTTGATCTGCAACACCGGGGACCACGTCCACGTGGAACGGAACATAAGAAAACGTGGTACGGAGCAAATCCGGACACGCGGAAGCAGCCACGTACTTGAGATGAACGTCTTGTTATCCGTTTCATGATTAGTGCGGCTGAGGAGTGGCGTGCACGTCATCCTCTTGGTTGCTTTTTCCCGCCAAGAATACATCACACGGTGCACCAAATGAACAAGACAGAACAGTATAGTAAAAAAAATGCTGTTTCATCGACCGAATACCCGGGCTGAACGAGGCTGTATATGGGTTGGATTACTATTCAAAAACGTGTCGTTTTGAGGGATGTGAGGTCATTTGACTTTGAGTTATGTGTAATATGTTCCCGGGATGACGTCCTGGACGTGATGAAACTCCAGAAGACGAGTGTGAGCAATCACCTTTCTGTAACGGATACTGTAGGTAATCGAAACAGCTTTTGAACAAACCCGAAAGACTTCGGGCTTTTGACTTCGTGAGAACCATTGTCGCCGACCCCCCCACGACGCACAAACCTTCTCTTTGCATATGTATAGCAACTTGTCGGTACGAAGACCAAAAGAAAGAAGAATCTCAAAAGAACCATCCAACCATCCCAGGTCTAAATACCACCTCTCCCAGCTTCACGATCAATAGAGAAATCAAGCACCCATTCGCCCTTACAACCCTACAATCAATCTTCCTATCCTATACAACCATATCAATAACGACCACAACACCAAACCCCTACCAACCAACTACTTGTACTACGATCAAAGATGCCAGCAGCAACACCCTATCGCTGCTCTGGGTGCGATTTCCCCAATCCCGCTTCGCACAACGGCCCCTGCCTGAACAACATCGCCTACTGCCCCAAATCAAAGGGCGACTGGTTCTGCGCTAAATGCCCTAACATAGTGCCAATCGCACTAGGTCCCGACAAGGACGGAGTGTACCGCTGTGATAAGTGCAGGGCGCCGTTCGACCCAAAGTACAAGTACACACCGCCGGTTCGGAGTTGGAGCTCGGCGGAGAGGAGGAAGGGGACCGAATACGAAAGGATGGGGGAGAGATGATAGATACGGAATGGACTGCTCGACAGTGAACGATCAAAAAACATGTGTTGGGATTATGCCCATGGGGACGAGCATGCTCTCGGTGTAGTGGATGTAAAGGCGCACCTCGTTATGAGACGAAAAAATGGTCCTTGGCATGGCGCGCTCAGGTGCCTCGGAAGGACTTTGGTACGCCGAATACTCTGTACACTAATTGCAGTAAGAGGAAGCCGCGGGATGGTAACTTGGTTCAGGGATACGGAGTTTTTGGGACGGGCTTTGGGAAAGGGTCTAGTGTGCAGAAGTGGTTGGGATCGAGAGTAGCGGAAGGAAATATGTTTACTAAATTGAAGAAACAAATTATCAATGCGCTGATTTCAGTGTTCTTATTCATCCGTGTATTGTTGAGCATACCATATGCTTGTGGCTTGAATTACTCTTGATGTGTACAGTCGCTTCGTGCACCACTCACACCGATTGCAAAGTCTTCGCGTATCCGTGACAACGCACTTTGCTCCTCATCGTCTTCGACTTCGTTATCGACCTCGAGTTCTGCATCGCTGTTCCTGCTATCCGCGCCGTCGCTGCCATTCTCGTCTGGAACCTCTTCCTGCTCCTCGTCATTGTCCGATTCATCATCTGTGTCGTCTTCTTCCATTTTGTTCGCATCGCGAGGATCATGACCAAGCTCAGGTTTTGTCTTGCGCTCGAAGTCCTCAGCGTGTGCATCGCGGAAGATATCGCCGACGTGTGTAAATGCGCGCTGCAGGGGAGATGGGCGAAATTCGTCCAGGGGACCGCGGCGCTTGCGAGCAGGCGACTGAGACTGTCCAAGTTCTGCTCCTGTGGCTGTAGCAGGACGACGAACCTGGTCCTCTGTCGGTGTCCGTGGACGATACTCATCAGGCTGTTCCTCGTCAATCTGTGTAGGCCCGCGCGGAATGCCCGAGGTGTGGTCTTCCTCTACCTCAGCATCCATGGGTACATAGTATGGCAGTGGTACATCCCTGCTTGCCCGGAATCGACCAACGTTCGTGCAGTGCTCGTTCTCGACACGGAAGATGGACCACATGCCTCTCCTGAAGATCTCACTGAGCGAGACACAGAAAGAGGTGACAGCCGAGTGTTGTAATTGCAGAGGTGTAACAGTATACATCACCCAGTTGAATCGTAGGATTGGATCAATGCACATGGCAGTGTAGTACCACCACACCTTTTTGTATCCGAGTTCCTTCCGCAAGAATGGGTGCTTGGCATGCGGGTCACCGAGACTCCAGTCGTAGTAAATGTCCCAAAAGCTCGTGTAGATGCCGTTGATGGTTGCAAAAAGTATGAAGACTGCCTTGGTGGACGTCTTCTGATCCATGCGGTAGATGCTGATGGAGGCATAGAACAGGATAGTCGCCATGTACTTTCCGCCGTTAAGTAAATGAGGGAACTTATTTCCGGTGTCTTTGTAACGACGCAGACATTGCATCAATCGCCATATACCTGGCAACGTACTGAGAAACCCGGTAATGCGCAAGTGAGATGAGTTGCATTGCGGTGGGTTGTTCCAGTCGTGCGCGTAGAGACAAAAGAACAACGCGATACCCTAGGACTTTCAGTATTGAGACAAGGATGCGTTTGGCTGACTTACACTCATGCTGTAGGTGAGGGAACAGAACATATCGCCGAGGTAGAAGTCTCGCCATTCGACAGGGTAAATACCAGCGAGCAACAGGCGCCACTGGTATTGCGTTAGTAGAGATACTATCAAGCGTGACTAGAATACTGACTAGCGAGTATAGCAACCACATGCGGGTACGGAAGTAAAATATCTTCAAAGGATTGAATAACAGCAAAACCGATATGCCGATGAGAATGACCGGATAGTAGAGGTAAAGATTGTCTCCCCCAACCTGATGAAAGTTGATTTGCATACATAGTCCAAGCATGAACAAAGTCCAGCAAGGAAGCTGTCGTGGGTTAGTGTTAGAAACAGTATAGACATGGTCACTACTGACCTCTGCAAGTTGCCTCCAGTCCAAGTGGTGGCGGGTATCATATTCGAAAATGAAAACGTAATTGATCTTGTGCTCGTGCCAGACCCGACACGCCATGCAGAACAAGAGAAGAAGAAAGTTGATCAGGAAGTATCCAGCGTAGATCTGCAGTAAATAGCTCGTGTTCATCGCAAGCACGGAGCCGTCAGGATCATGCAAATCCGTTATCTGACTTGCTTTGATGAGCCCCTGGATGCCAAGTATGGTACCCGCTGACAACAGCAGACCGTTACGGAATGTGTTGTCTGTGTAATCGCCTGCTCGTGCGATCTTGATGCGTAACTTCCCGATGGCAACTTTATGGTTGCCTTTCTCGAAGTATCTTGCATATAGGTCCTCGGTTGCTCGAATGTGTCCCTCGATTACATCGCTATTCACAAACCAGGCTTGGTTCACCTTCTCGTTCATGTAACGCGATGACGGTCGCGCGTTGACGGTTTTATCGTACTTCTTGTTGATCTTTCGGAAGGCAGTCCGGTTCAGTAACGCATAGGACTTCAGAAGCTCCAGCCCTCGATAGTACTCTTGTAGTGCAACCTTGAGCTTCCGTTTCGCTGTTTGATACGGCACGTCAGGCAATTCGGGCCGTCTGGTAAAGTCGCGGCGACTATCGGGGTGGTCTTTGGGCTGGAGTGCTGCTGGCGTCGCAAGCTGTGTTATGTTCTTGGTGCTCTTCCCATACTTGCCCGCGTTGATGGCGTCTAATGCAGCATCTATGGGGTTAAGGAAAGCATCTTTGAGAGTGCCTCCGTTCGTCTTGTTGACCTGCTGATTCTCGTCACCTGAGCTGCTATTTTGGCCGTTGCTCAGGACATATTTCCCATCATGCTTCTTGCGAGCCTTGGCGTTCATCTTATCGGTCTGGCGCTTGATGACATCGTCGATACGTCGGTCCCGCATGATGTGAAGTTGGTCGCGGAGGACAGATAGACGCTTGGTAGCCTCGTCTTCCTTGTGCTTGTAGAACGTCTCGATCTTATCCAATTCGCCATCAAGAAAGTTGAAGAACTCGGCTTGGCGGAAGTCGAGATCACGGTAGGCTTCGAGTGGGACATCACCCGGGCTATCTGGAGGTGTCTTGTTGCTTAGCGAGAACATTCGGCGTACTGACGGACGCGACTTGTGCTGGGTGATGGGTCCTGGCAGGGAGTTCATGCGCTGGGGAGTGAAGACGCTCTTGTATCTGTTTGGCAGCGAGTTGTGATGCTTGTTGGGCGAGACAGTCTTTCCGATTTCGAAGGCGTTGTCATTGCCATCTTCGTTTTCCACAGGAGACGGAAGCTTGACTGTCTTCTGCCTCCGCAGTGACGCGCCTGACGCACCTTCGACTTGTGGGGAGACATTGTCGGGATCGAGAGCTGCGCCAGGGAGCTTCAGAGACGGCGGGGCTCTGGCTTTGGCTGCAGAGCTGTTCTGCGTGCCACCAGACAGATTCCCACCAAAGCTGCCGTAGTTGTTGGCCCAGTCTCGGCGATCGCTCCCGCCCTGAGTCAATGGCTCTTCTTCGGGTGTGCGTCCAGTCCGGTCGCCATTCTCTCGCTGCTGCAGGCTGTGCTGGCTCCGGCTGTTCGTTATGGCAAGGGCCCTCAGGTCTCCGGGGTCTCTCGTGCTGCCCGTTTCGCCTTGTCGCGCATGGTCGCGATTGAGGTACGTGTATTTCGGAGCCGCATCAAAGGGCGAGGGGAGGACGTTGGTGCCGCGTCGCCGGAGTCGTGGGGTGGATTCTACGTTGCGGAGGGCCCGACTGATGGCCTTGAGCTTCTTTTTGCCAACCTGTAGGCATCGTCAGTCAACTGCGGTGGTGCTAGATATGGGCTAGCGGAAGTCGGCATCACCTTGTAGTCTAAGTACTTGAGCCGCCACTCCGGAACGAGATCGCGCTCTAGTTCTCTGTTGCAGTCAGTCCTGTGGCTGGTGATACTCGAACGCGCTGTCTCACTTCGCAAACTTCATCACTACGTCGTTGGCGCGTCAACCGCGAAACACGATGAAAGGAGGGCACAAAAGCGCGTTTCTTGCAGGCTCATCGGATCCCACAGGGTGACAATATATCGGGATCCGACCTGTTGAATGTGTGTCGGTGACCGCGAAGATGGTCGTGTGCTACTTTCGAGCACTTCGAACGTAATGCGAGCGCCGTCACGCTGAGGTGTGTCTATCGCGGAGGAGATTTGCACGAATCATGCACGCACTTGGCAAGATTGGCGACATTGGCGACAACGTCATACCTAGTCAGGCTGTGGACCCCCTCATTCACCCTAATAACAGGACCCGATCCGAATGTATATCAACACATCTAGGCATAGCAGTGGCTGACACCATTCGCGAAACACGTTGACAGTTTTGAGAGGCTGACCAAAAGCAAGGGTGTGCATTTCGATAAGCTAGTCATTTATTGGTTTGTTCATTCCTTCTACGAGACTGCACCAATCATAGTCTTCTCTGCTCCGCTACCATCCGCGTCGCTCGAACCTCTCTGGGCGACCATATTGCTGGGGGTTGTACTGGTCGGCCTCCTGGTTCTCGATGTAGTGCTCGTCGTACATGCGCTCGGCGTGTTGTTCCGCGCTTCGCTTCGCCTTCTCGCGGTCGAACCAGTCCTCGCCCTTTGTCTCAGCAAGCTTGTCGACCTACAGATCCCGATTAGTATCCATCTCGTCTTCCTACGTACAAAATGCTTACCTCGGCACCTGCGAAGCCAGCCAGTAGCTCTTTAGCGAATTGGTGGGATACGGGCTTGCCTGCATTAGGTGTCAGCGTAAGATGGCAGTCACAAGAGAGGGAACACTTACCCTCCTTGCGCTGATGGTCCTCGAAAGCCTTGAACCCAGCGAAGGCAGCTCCTCCAGCGATCACCTCATGTCCCAAGCTAGACTTGTTCTCCTCGAAGTTGTCGTTCTCGTATACCTTCTGGTAGTTGTCTTCGTTGTTGTCTGTACGATGAAGATTAATATCAGATTCTCTTGAACGATCAGGATGGAAGACTTACCCCAGAAGCCCATTGTGAAGATATGAAGTGGAAATGTGAATACAAGTAAGGTTCTTTTGCTGTTGAAGTGTTGAGAGGATAGTGTTTGAGTGCAGTGTCCTAGAAAGCGTACCTGACCTCGCTTTAAGTATCTCTCCGCAGCCAGCTGCTGCCGGTCGGCGTCATAGGCGGCCAGCATTCATGCAACTGTTGGCAGTACCAAATCATCCACCAGGGCCGATCGTGCCCCTCTCTTTCTCATCGCGCAGCCATCCAGGGACCACTTGTGGCACAGCTATGAAGCATACGCAGGGTCCTTGAGCTCATTCTCGCGCCACATTACGCGCCAGCGCACGAACGGCTCCATCTTAGTGGACCATGTGTCGTGTTGGTATGTTTGGAGTATTATGATCAGCCAATTGTGGTATAGATGCGTGCGTAATGAGCCAGGATGTGGACGTCAGACCGGCGGGATGCACGGCAGGCCAAATAAGCTTCCTTGGTAAAGCTTAGCCTCGCATGACAGAGCGGCTGGAATCTGGTATCGAGGGGCTGGAGCTGTAGAAAGCTCCGGTCGTAAACGGCTGGACGTACAGAGACCTGCACGACAGCTTTTGTTTTTGTACGAAGGTCCAGAACCATCTGTGGGTGAAGATCCGCGTTGTTGCTTGATCTTCCTGTTGAAAGCTTGGTAGGCTAGCGAGCGAGCATCTCCCGAAACTCCGTGATCGTACCTGTTGCCTCGAACTCCACCATGTGCTCAGCCACAACGCCATCTTCACAGCAACATGCCGGGCCGACTCCCTACCAAAGCTGACTTTCCGTCGTCAGCGACGCTCAGCATCACGCCACGTATGTCGCATTTGGCAGTGTTACTCCTACTTCTACTGACTTTTGCAGCACCGTCTTCGCAGCCGCCCACCAACATCTTGATCCTCCTACACGGACTCGGCGATACGAACGCACCCTTTACGAAGCTCGGTGAGCAGCTGAATCTACCTGAAACAGCGTGTCTCGCCTTACAGGCACCGAACCCCGTGCCGTTCGACCTCGGTGGAATGCACTGGGGTGAAGACATGATCTTCGACTCCAGTACCGGCGAGATGGACATGGATACCGGTCTCCAGGGGTCAACACGCCTGGTACTAGACCAGATCATCCGCGAAGGTCTCATTGGGAAATGTGGCTACAAAGGACGAGAGATCATGATCTTTGGATTCGCGCAAGGCGGCATGGTCGGATTGCAGGTTGCAGCCGAGCTCGAGGAAGAACTAGGCGGGGTAATAAGTATCGGTGGGCCACTCTCACAATCAGTGTCCCTGAAAGCTCTGCAGAACAAGAGCAAGACCCCGGTGCTGGTGTGCAAGGCAAACAAGAAGTCTGCAGTCACGGACAGTGCTACGACGAAGCTGAAAGACGCTTTCGACTATATCGAGTTCAAAGAGTGGAAGAAGAACGGCGACGGTATGCCAAGTAGTCGCGAAGAGATGCTGCCCATTATGCAATTCTTCGCACGCAGGTTACGAAGTACCAAAGGAGTTCCTGCAGGTAGCGTTGAGATCAGTTAGGCAAGTCATTGATCGCGCTCCGAAAGGCCTTAGTATGGTGAACGACATCTTTCACAAGACCATCATGGACGTGTGGCGCCTTTCCAAGTGCTGGGTAGGTAGCAAGGCTAGATGCCAGAGTTTGGCGACTAAAGCGGCTGCGATTAAATCGAATTCAATACGAAAAGCTCACTGGTCTCACTCCATCATTGTTGCTCTTAGCCCTCCTGCTATCGCTCCTTCCCATTCTCGTGATGCGCGGGGTGTGGTCCAAGCTTCTTCTACGTCACCCGTATTCTCGACCACCATTCGCTCGTCTACTTTGAACCTCTTAAAATCCTCTCACATCTCTCACCGCCAAACACCATCATGGCAGTGCCGAGGAATTCCTTACGGGGCTTTCTTACACACGCGAGAGGCGCTCTCCGGAGCGCTATTGAAACCAGTCAGAAGATTACATTCGTCATTGGCAATGAGTCTGCGGGTGAGCATGACTTCTGCTCCACAATGGCGCTCCAAACTCATGAATTACAGACCTTGATTCGATGTCATGTTCTATTCTATACGCGTACATTCGGTCTATGTCACCGCCCAAGAATGCCTTTAGTCCAATTTACGTGCCAATCACGAATATTCCAGCTGCTGATATTCAGCTAAGGCCGGAATACCTTGCCGTATTTAAACACGCCAATATTGAGTCGAAGCACTTGATCACGCTTGATGACTTACCCGCGCTATCCGACATAGAGTCGAAACTTGCACCTGAGAATACCAAATGGATTTTGGTAGACCACAATGCTCTGCAGGGTCAATTAGGCAAGATGTACGCTGAGCGCGTCGCTGGCGTCATTGACCACCATGATGATGAAAAGAAAGTTCCGGAGGACACAGGTGAGGAGCCGAGGATTATCGAGAAGAGTGGCAGCTGCACTAGCTTGATCGCAAACTACTGTCGGCCATCGTGGGATATGGCTTCGCTATCTGCCCTGTCTTCTGGAGCAGCTCATGCGCAGGGTGATAGCATGTCCAATGACGCTGCCTTTGTTCAGCGCTGGGATGCGGATATTGCCCAATTAAGCTTGGCCAGTATTCTTATTGACACGGCTGATCTCCATGACGAGAACAAAACGACCGAGCATGACCGTAAGGCTGTCGAGTACCTGGAAGCTAAGATTATGCTTTGTCCCCAGCTAGCTGCAAGCTTCGACCGAACCAGCTTCTACAAGGAGATCAATGCAGCAAAGAAGGACATTGGAAGCCTAAAGCTGCAAGACATACTTCGGAAAGATTACAAGCAGTGGGACCAGGGTGGTCTGAAGCTCGGCGTCAGCTCCGTTGTCAAGTCTATCGAGTTCCTCCAAAACAAGGCTGGTGACGAAGCAAGCGCTCAGACAGCTGAAGCATTCCCCGCAGCGTTGAAGGAATTTGCAAAGGACCGGGATTTGGACATGTATTCCCTGATGACCACATCCACAGGTTCAGATGGCGGTTTCCAGAGAGAGCTGTTATTATGGGCCTTCAACGACGGCGCCGTGTCAGCTGCCAAAAACTTTGCCACGAATTCAAAAGACGAATTGGGATTGGAGGAGTGGCAGAATTCCGACGACATTGACAGCAAGAGGGAGTGGAGAAAGACTTGGTGGCAACGACAAGTGCAGCACAGTCGGAAACGTGTCGCACCTCTACTCAGGGAAGCCATGACTTGACTATGGGTGCAAGAGGGCAAGCTCTGATGGAGTCGTGAAGACCATCGATCGGGTGCAATGGTGCCGGTAGAGCGCTACGCTGGCGCGTTGGTGTCGGATTAGCGGGATCACCACACTTTCCTATGTCTTGCATTGTAGATAGGCGCTTAGCAGCAATTGGGCACGTAAGCGTCAGCCCAAGTGCCGTTGGGTACGTCGGTGGGCCATAGGTACCTGAGGAAGGAGCGGTCTGTATGCGGCAACTCGTGGTGGCGGGGTATTTCGCACGCGACTAGGACCGGCAGATGGGCACAACGATCTCCGACACCCAAATTTGGGGACATGTTTAATGGAACATTTCAACGCCCACGCAGAAGATTGTTATCTCGTAATATTACGATCGCGATAGAGCTGCCACCCACTAGGACGCCGGTGCAGACGCAATGCTGCTGCAAACATGCAAAAGGAACGAAGCTCCGCAGCGTGTGCAGCAATAGCTCCAAGCAGAAGATGCTGCAGATAGTTTAGTATGTGGTGCGACAGCGAGGCTCATTGGACGGCGACGGCATATACATGGCAAGATGATGAATGATCTGGAGATTGACTAGGCACTAGCCATGCACTGGGATATGAAGTGGGAAACCATGGGTTCACAGCAGTGCAGCGCGATGCTTTGGCGTGCAGCATGTTGCATGGCATGGTCTTTTTTGACAGGAATGCGCTGGCAGCGCAGGGGCAGCGCGACTCCACTCGACGGCCGTCACGTCAGGAGGGCGAGAAGACATGCGCTTATGTGATTTGCTGGGCGTCGCCCTTTGTTTGGCCTTGCAGATGCGCCAGAGCAGCGTGTTTGAGAGTTTACGAGCTGCTCTGCTGTTGAGCGTCGTCTGTCGTGGTGACGGAGAGGAGGGGTAGCGTCTCTGGGCGGTCGCAGAAGCGGCCAAGCCGATACCCTAGTCTCTCTATGGCGACATGGCTCGCCAGCACCAGCGGCGGGAGAGCATCGCCGAAGCTTCCAACAGAAAGACGACGGTGCCGATCAGAAGCGTGCGTTGTCGACGAGTCTCTGTGCGAGGCGGGGATGGCTGGCCATGCAAAACGTGTGGGCAAAAGAGGGTCCATGGACCTTTCAGAGCTGAGGCATTTGGGCGGTCGGCCCTCATTCGTCCCACAGCGATGTGCTGTTCCTGCAAGTCATCGCCTGGACAGTTCCATGGCGATGTGAGGCCGTGGGCAAGTCTGGCGGTCTGCCATGGCCACCAATCTGAAGCAGCTCCCCCGCTGCAACTATACACGGTATATCGCCGCTGGCTGTCCATCACCGCTTTCTGGTCGCTTTCGCGTCTTAGCCTTAGTATAGTCAGTATAGCTAGCATTAGTAGGGGGGCCGTTGAGCTGCAGTCGTGACTTGCCCGCCCTTGTTACAGGGACTCGAAACAGGCGCCCAATCACACCTACTTGGCCTCGCTACTCTGTATCATTACCACCTAAAGAGTCAAGACGCGCCAGCGCATACGTCCAAAGCTGTGGAGAGGTCGCGCCCAAAGCAGTCCCCATTCTCCCAATACCATCGCTCCATCTGGCAATGCCGTAGGGGATCACTGCCATCTTCTTGAGGTCCGCACCTTCCGTAGGGCTTCCATGGGGCTCCCTCATGGCGACATGATCCGACGAACCCAACTCACAGCCTCGCCGGCGCAGGCTGGCAATACTCCGCGTAGGTGCTTTTCCCTCCTTGGGCTTTGTGCTCCTTGGTGTCCTCGAGCGGTCCAGCGTCCAATAGCTGGCGCGAGCATCGATGCGCTGCTCTGTCCATGTACGATGAGCTGGCAGGCGAGTTGACGCTGACCTTACTCGTAGCCGTGTCGCCCACCGTGACGCATGTTTCGTCCAGAAGCCACACGCCCTCGCACACTACCGTGACTACTTCTCAAGTCGACGACCCGCCCACTGAGGCTCCGCCCCGGTCGCCCTCACCTCGCGCTCCCAAGCACCTGACGACCACCATGGGGAGTCGACCTGGCGGAACGCCAGACGTCGACAACGACCGCCATGGCCACCAGACACTCCAGCGACCCCAGATGCCCGCCTCCATGTCTGCACCCGCAGGCCGCCTGCCTCGACTGCTGCCCGCCGACCTTTCTTCCTACAGCGACTCGTACCTGCCGACTGCAGCCATCCCACCGTCTGCGACTTCCCTCGCCGAACTCGCTCATCTAATACGCCTCCAGGGCTACCAAGAGCAGCGCAAGACCCACGCCCGCGTGCGCCTACACAGGTGGCTGGTCTCTAGCGCCCTCTCCGCACGTCTGGTACACTGCGGAGAGCTTGCCTACCGCACGCTGGTGGATAACTTCCGGTCGGACGACAAGAAGTCCTTCGCATCCCTATACAATGCCCTGAACGATGTCCGCAACTCATGCGATGCCACGAGACAATACGCCCTTTTGGAGCCGGATCTGGAGTTTGGCAAGTCCAAGAACATGAAGAGCGAGAAGCCCCTCTCTGCTTCAACTTTCCTCAATGAAGTTCCGTCCAAGATTTTGGACAATCTTCTAGATTTCATTTCTGAGATCCGCACCAATCCTGAATTTCTTGCTGCTCGCATTTCCAGTCTTTCGCAGCAAGAGCTCACTTCTCTTACGTCTTTCCGTCAGACCATGGATCCCATTGACTCGGTCATGTTTGCAAACGCCCGCAGCCGCAATGCATCCTCGCAAAAGCCCCAACAGCAAGGAACGAGTCCAGTAGAACGTCTGTTGTCTTTTCAGCGCCACGACCCGTTGTCTGCCCTAGTCTACACCATATTCGCCAACTCGTCCGGACCCGACTCAGCCGAGGACCTCCGCCGCACTGATGTATGGGCCACTGTTTGTGCCAAATTAATCAAGAACAACAACCCAAACTTCATCAGAACTGTACTTGATGTCTGGGCAGGTATGCGAGAGTGGCCTGGCAAGACCAATTTGGAGCTTTATCTTATGCAGACCCTACAGGACGGCCAGTTTCTGCTAGAGAAGCCAGAAGAACAGGCAGCACGACCCGGAATGCCGGTCCAACGTTCGACCAAAGATACCATTGCAGTAGACGAGTTCTTTGACAAGGCTGTCAAACGCTTGTTCGAAGTCGTTGATGATGAGCCTAGTGCCGGCGGTATCCCGGAAGGCGTCCTAGAAATTGGAAATGCCATCCTCCGAAAGCTAGAGGACGAGAAGAACGTCCGCAGGGCTTCTCAAAACTTCTTCGTTTCGCGTTGGCTATTCTCTACTTTCCTGATGAACGCCATCATTCATCCTGAGGCATGTTTACCCTTGTCGATACGAGGTTCATGGCACTAACAACAGCTAGACTCACGGTATCATGATAGGCCACCACATCAGCGAGCATGCCCGCATAAAAATTCTGAAGGAGGTTGCCATCCGAGCGCAGAAATACGTCGTGGACATGACCTACAACTGGTATGATCCGATTCCCAGGTAACACTAATATCATCAGCTAACAACAAATCTAGGCAAAAGAAAGTACCGATACTTCCAGAGATCCGAACACATATCGAAAACATCTTGGCCCGATTTAAGCACACTAAAACTCCCTCGAAGCCAATTTTACTACCTGCAAAGGCCATCACGTCACCTAGGGAAACTGTGGAAGTTCAGCCCTTCATTGTTCTCTCTCCGGCAGACATTGTGACCTTGGTTAATGCCCTCTTCCCAGAGCGCCGACCATCATCGAGCCATATGGACAACGACAGCCAGCGCCGTACTGGTCTTGCTTCATCTGCTTCATCCATGTCCGGGATGTCAGTACCATTCCGGAATGCCGCCGCTTCCGTGACTGATGCAAGCTCTATTCTGAGTGCCAGTGCCTCTTCCATGACCAGTGACCAGACGTCGCGAGAGCCGCTCCTGGACGGCAATCCAGCATCAACCGACTCGGAAAATGAGATGAAGCCAGTACCAACAGAGCAATACGGAAAACAGCTGCGATCAGCGTGTTCTGAGATGACTCGCATTCTAGGTTTCGAGGCGACATCGGGTTCATGCCATCCGTGCGCAGAGCGATGGGCTGTCCTTTACATCTCCGCTGATGGAAAGCAGCTGAAGCCGCGTATGCGCAAGGATTTTGATGATGAAGATGAGCACGATGAAGATTCACCAGACAGTGACAGCAGTGACGACGAGGATGGCGGGAACAGGTTCGATCTTGGAAATGACTACCACCAGTTGAAAGAGGCCATTGCCAAGCTGGTTGAAGAGTACGAGATTCCAAAAGAACTGGCACCCGACAGCGAATCGAAGAATTTCAGCAACCGAATGACAACCCGCAAGAGCACACGTGGACGCGGCCCGGTACGCAATGTTAGCGACAATCTTGGCTCACGCAATCCGTACAACTCAACACAGAGCCAAAGTCAGCTCACAAACATGATTGCAAGTCAAAGAAACGTCTCATCTCGACGCTCACCACAATTCCCAAGGAGCCACAGCAACCCGCAAGTCGGCGAAAAGCAAGAGAACAATTCTGTTCTTGTTACAATGCTCGAGACAGCCATGTACCAGTGCCAAGCACGATCTGATTTCGTCAATGCGCACATGTACTACAAGACCTTGCAAAGTTTGAAAAGACTCAGCTCTCCCACATTGGTCAAGAATGGGTATGCCGCTCTCCTCAACTACTTCTCTCGCGGTCCGCGTGATCTCCTTAGCAAAGCAGCCAACGCCATCGAAGAGTTCGAGGCCTGGTTCGTATGGCTCAAGCAATCACAGGAGCGATCAGATGGTATGGTTGAAGAGATGATGATTACATTCAAGAACCTCCGCGACAAGATGTGGTACATTACAGATGTTCGTACCTCGAAGCCATACGAAGACGCCAGAAACGTCGCGCTTGCCCTCAAGATCATGGAACAACAGTCGAAGACGCTTAGTACCAGAGGTCCTTCTGGTTCCCAGCCACGGAGCACCAATAGCTTCTTACGGCAAAATGAAGCTCAACTCGTTGACCTCATGTCCGCCACTCAAGATTTCGGTGGTCCAAACAAGCTGTCCGATGAGCAGTCGCAGATCACCCTGAAATGGCTCATGCAATACGGCGTAGAGAACTTCTGCAAGGGCGAAGAGCGGATACATCGTTTCTGCCTTGAAGTCGACAAGTGCGTCACTAAGATCATTGGCGAGGGTGTTCTGGACGGACCCGTTCTTTGGTCCAGCGACTTATACAAGCGCGATCAACAAATTCTAGAAAGTGGACGACAGAAGGGTGATCTGTTCTTGACTGGTGTCGGCACGCTCTCTATCGCTGGCGACGAAGAGTACGAGACCCATGGCCGGCCTGGTTCACGTAGTCATGACTTTTCGCAACGACCAAGCCAGGGCAGTCTACGTGCCGCAGCCAACCGAAATGGATCTTCCAGCTTCGATCAGAGTCCCTGGGGAAGGAATCCCATGGACTCTCACGACTACTTCGGTGGCTCTTCACCTGTCTTGTCGATCGACTCTGTGGCTACTTTCTGGTCGCCGTTCCAAACTCAAGCGCAGTCGCCCACCAATGCGACCAGCATTCGTCCACGTACCGCATCGTCTTCAAAGGGTACAGTGATGCTGAAGCAATCTGCAATGGTCAACGAAGACAAGCGTCGTTTCATGCTCGATTTGAAGCAAACACTCACAGGCCTTCTCTTGAGTGATCTCGGAACGATGGTTTTCGCCAACGGGAGCGAGACCGACTCGTGGTTCTGTGGTGATCTACTTGACGACGTCTTCGAGCGCAGGGACGAAGAAGAGCGCAAGCGCAAGAAGCAACTTGCCAAGAAGAGCATGAAGAACATTCGAAAGCAGACGCTACCTGATCAACGTAACCTGCCCTTGGAGACGCTTGGCCGCAACGAGCGGGGTTCAGCTGCCCCACCTGTTGCGACATTCCAACATGCTAGCGCATCCGATGCTCATCAATCAGCTGGTGAGCATTCTTCAGCCTCAAGCGATGCAACTTCACGTTCGGTTGGCAATGCCACAGCGAAGAAGGCTGGACTCCTCGAGTTCCCCTACAACGTTGCTTTCCGGCGGCTGCTAGGCAGATTTCAAACACATCCCAATCCCTTCTCCAAGCTCCATGCATTGTACGAGCTGGAGTTGCTCATCATAGCGTCTTTGTCTTCTCGAACAGGTCGCTCCTACAATAACCGTCGCGAAACACTTCCTCCAGTTCCCCAATCGCCTACTCTTGGCACCATGCCGGAACTCAGCTCTCGTGAGCCAGCTACGCAGACTTCTCGTGCACAGAACCTGGAAGAGGCAATTGCCAACTGCGAGGAACGCCGCTCCCACAGCATGAATGTAGAGCGCGCTAGCAACGCCTCTCCTCTGCCTCGTAACGGTGCACGCTCTCCGGTTGGACCACCAAGCACAGACATGATTGTTGAAGTCATCCAGGGCCTCTTCCGCGATGCCAACATTCGACCCAAGACACTGTTCCGAGACCTACAATACATAGCATCTTTTGTACCCGCACAGATGCTGGACAAGACTGCGCGAGGCAAGGCATTCTGGGATGTTGGCCTTGCTGCCCTTGGCCTCAAGCAAGATGTCTGCCGGATCATGGTTGAGCTTGTTGACGAAGTCATCACCCAAAACTCTAAGCGAGATGCAGGCAAAGTCAGCAGTGGTGGTGCTGCCGAGAAGGCGGGCGTACCATCCACCGCACTGGCTCCGGTCGACGAACCACTATCCAAGTACACTATGGAGGATGCCGGGCGCATGCTTCTTATTACTGCCAAGGAAGGCGACGCAGTTGCTGAGCGTGAGCTTGCCATCTTTTACCTCACTTCACCCGAGCTCGTTCATCGCACTGTATTGCCACTCACCAGGCCCAGCGAGGTCTTCAAGACTGAGCTTCTCAACCGTGAGAGGAGAGCGTCACAGGATCCCGCTCGCAGCGATCCAATGACCATGTGTGTTGCACAGCACTGGATGGAGCAGTCCATGAAGGGTGGCGATCAACTTGCCGCCAAGTACTTGCGCCAGCGCAGCGAGCTGGAGAACATCAACCCGAGTAGGGCATAGTATGTCTTTTTCCGCATTTGGTGTTCGACTCTGCATTGATACCCCTGTCGACCATTCCTATTACCATCGACTGCGCGACTTTGTTTTAAGTTTTTCGTAATACGCGCAATATCGTTAACGGTCTATATAACATGACGGCCGGTCATGCATAGCGAGGAGTTTCCCATTCTGTTTTTCCATCAAGGTTTTCGACTTTAAGCAAGCATGATTCCCCCTGTCGCCTTGACTTTTCGTTCGCGTCCATTGTTCTCTTCTTACCTTTTACTCTTTATACCGGCGCAACATGAGGCTCAACGATATATGATGCTTGTAGATCCATGGAAGGGTACACAGATGGTACCAATATACCAAGGCTTAAGGACATGGGCTGGTTTGGCGATACCCCGTTCCCAGATGTTCAACGATAGTTCATATACACGAGATAGGACCAAGGATACGACAACGAATCTCCTTGGACATGACATATTTCTGGGCTGGCATCTGATGTTTACATATCATATAGCGTAGATCTTGCGGCCAGATATTAACCTTTGAATGAAAATCTGCATGAAAAATTAAGTACTTTGCACCTTTCAATTTCCGACTTGCTGTGCTCGCAGTCGTTTTTAGACTACATACTCGTATTCATTCTTCACTTTCGCTTCCTCGGCAGCGTTTCGCCCGGCAGCAGCAGCTTCTTCCAACTGCGCACCGGAGTTCCGGCTCAGTCTGTTTGCCTTCTTCTGTTTCCTCACATGTAGCTCATCGCACCTATCGTTGTCATCCTCGTCCGTCACTTCCTTAGCCATCTCCTCCCCGTCTCTACCAACGGCCTGCCAACCTCCCACATACCCTTCCTCGCTCTCCAAGTCACCCCTGTCTTTCCTCTTTTTCAACTCACTCATGACATTTCCCAGCGTCTCTTCTCGTACACCCTTAAATCCCATGATAGTCCCACTCTTCCTAACAAACAGCTCATTCGGCACGGTCTCCTCAATCCACACCTTCAAATCCACCAATACCCTTGTACTCAAATCCAGTACTTGTACGCAAGTCACTGGATGAATGATCCACCAACATGCGCTGTGGAACGGGCTGGTCTGGTTGGCGGCGGATGCGGGTATACTGTCGATTTCCTCGTAGTAAGCGTGAGTTTGTGCCATACCTAGGGTAGAGAGTGGGGAGATCTCTATGCGGGTACGTAGGGGAAGAAATAGCGTTTGAGACGGTGGTGATCTGGGTCCGACGCTGGAGTCGTGGTATTCAAGAAGGTGGGGTGGTGCATCTACGCGGTTTAGTTTTGTGGTTTTTGGTTGTCTTGAGGGAAACAGAGTGAAGACGACATCTAGAGCACGATTATATAAAGACATTTGGTGCGGTAAGAGCGACATGCTCTTAGTGTTTTGCGAGCAGGATATCAAGTGGCTGGGGGATAGGATTTGAGGTAGGCTGTTAGTTGTGTGAGCAAACTCTTATGTCAGTTTGGTGGGATTCGGGACTCTGCGGTGACGTGCTGTTGGCAAGTCGCTTTAGGTTGTATACGGTGACGTTGCGCCTTCACCGTCGGTAGGAGTTACACACGAACGAACTGGAGTGAATAGAATAAGATGGAAAAAGGCGCGACAATAAGATACACCTTAGAGTCATCGGTGAAAGAAGGAGAATTTGATACAATTGGGCTAACATCCTATTTACATCAATTTCCAGATCGAGTGACCATAGTTACTTTATACGCATCTCGGCAAGATGTCCGACATTGACTCCATTTCATCACACATCCCTCCATGAGCCGGATTTAGCCCCAGGTGAGTCCTCTGGACTGTCTTCAGCATATGCCTGATAGCTCGAAGGTCTTGCTGTTGCCTTCGGCCAGTTGAATAGTCGAGTTGGGTTTTGGAATGGCACGGTCTGGGAAGCGTTAGAATGTCCACAGACAGTGCATCGACAATCTGAGGCTTGATCGAACATATCTTGAGTGTCGTGTTTAAGTTTCGCAGCAGTTTCCCGAGCGGATGAAGTCCTCTGCTCACGGCCTCGAAAATGGGTAGCCCGCTGCCCAGTGTTTTGGGGTGCACATTCTTTGACTTCCTTTGGCTCAGATACAATTGAGGTTTCTTCGAAAGCACTTTGGGGTTCTTGATCGCTATAGGTTTGATTGCGCTCTTGTCTCTTGGACTCGGAGAGCTTCTTAGCAGCTCCAGTTCCTGCCATAGGCTCCCATTCACGATCAGAAGGAAGTAACGAGTTGCAATCATGGAACATTGACGACTGATGGTAACCAAGTGGTTGCTGCATGTTATGCACACACTTTGGCGTTGCGTGTCCTGGGAACGTAGACTTGTCAACCTCCTGGTCGGATGGTGGCTGTACAAATCGAACCTGGCGCTCTGGACCTTGACCAGAATCCTGAATTTGTTTCATGCAACCTTCTGACGAGATATAGCATTCTTCGGCACATTTTTCAGGATGACAACAGGGCACTGTCTGTTTGACAGTCACCTGAGGAGTACGATAATCAGGCTCATTGGGGAATGTGTAATTGAACTCGTCGTCGCCCCATCGCGAATGATCTCTCCATACAGATCGCCCAGGGAAACTCTTAGGATTAGTCGACTTGATGTTACTTACTTGCTTCAGAGAATCTCTTTCTGACGAGCCCTGGTCGCGCATAGCTTTGTATGATTTGAGCAAGTACAGATCGGCATAGGGCACCAGGGAACTGTTTTCGGCAGCCAGACCGTAACATATCAGCCCTCGCTGATAGAAGTCTTCCCATGCATGCAGAGGCTTTGGAGAATATCTCTCGGTCGCCATCGTGAGCTGACGAGTACGTTGCTGGATCTTGGTAGGTTCAATAGTCTCCGCATCGAGTCTTGAAGTCCGCGAAACCCGGTCAGGGTAAACTTTCACATTCTGTCCTTGAATGCTGCGAGTACCATGGTGGCTGTTACTCTCAAACTGAAAGACTCGGTCTTGGGGTGGGGCGAAATTGAGGTCTGGAAAGTAATCACAGAAGTCCGAAATCTCGTTGTTGTTCGCACAGGCTGCCACATGCGTGCTGAAAGGTTTATTAGACTCAGATTCCATATAGTCCGGGTCTGCGCCTCTGTACAGTCTACGATTGACTGGAGTATTGGGTGGGGCGGAAGCGTGCTCAGTGGGGGTGCGGTATATAGAATGGTAGACGGAACGGGTGCTTGCAGGATGTACCAGTTCGAAGTATTTGGAAGTAAGCCCCTCAAACTTGATGACATCCCAGTTCCAATGGAAGTCAACTGGATATTGGTAGTCATCGAATATTGGGAAGCCCAGACCAGCTGCCCAACCATGCGTCTCCAAATCGCCAAGGCACCTGGCGTTTTCGAGCCAGCGCACTATGATCGACTGCGCTTGCAGAACATTCTCGAGGGTATGGTTACCCAGGTTTTCTGCAACCTCATCTTGTATCGTATCCAAGAAGTCATGGAGGGCTTCTAGCTCTTGGGGGCGCATGGGATGCAGAGAGCTTAAGTCGAACGGTAATGTGAAGTAGAGGTCATCACCAGTCGGAATATGGACTACGTACGCATCTGGATGCGACAAGAAGTCACGACAACGCTGGGCATTTGGGCGTAGGAAAGAGGGCATGCTTGGAAATGTTGAGTGAGGCTTGTGTTAGATGATCTTGGGACAAAGAAGATGCACGTCTTTGCTACTCTGTAAATTGATGTCTCGAGGATTTTGTGGATATTATTATTGAGGAAAGATAGATTTATATACCTCTTATGTATTGCTGTTTCCTTGTTGGTGTCATCAGTTATTGAAGATCTCAAGAGACTGTGTTTACGTATCGTGTTGGCCTCATACACCAAAGAATGGAATAAACACTGCGAGTGCTCGCGAAGCTTTGCAATAACCTGGAAAGTTCCGCAAGCATAGCCATCGATTCAAGAAATAATGCAACAGCTCCTACGTGCTCTTCATGCAAGCGAACACTATCTGTATGTGAATTGATGTTGTGATGTCATGCTGCGACGCTAACAATGGACCGAGGTCGCGGTTGTGACACGTCGATGCGACTTTACAATATATCAACGCTGCGCAATACTACGGCAACACTACGCATACCCTGCTTCATCGAATCGCTCTAGATGTAATTTCTGCGATAGTGCTATCTACAATAATCTTCGCGTAGCCCGGGTGCTCGAGCATGATGAGTTAGTGTACACTGTGTAAAAGCTTCTCACGGGCACTCACAGCATCCGGAGCGTTTTTCACATTACACAGTATTCATCGACCCATTTGAGCCTATGATGAATGCTCGATACACTATAAGCAGTAAAATATCAAGTGTACGATACCGCCGTACTGATTAATATGCAGAAGCATTGAGCACATTCCTCTACTATCTCCTCCAACACGTTTAAACCGATCGCCATTTTATGTTTAGATTTGGAAAGGTTTCCTTCCGCTAAAAATACGAGTTCCTGGTATATGAACACGAAGTACGAGCTCTAGAGCATCATCAACGCGAGCCAAGGTTTCTTGCACACGAGCATTGAACTCTGGGGTTCTATCGACATGTTATCGCTCCTCCTCCAATTCAGTGCCTAAATTATGGAGGCAGACTGGAACCAAGTTCTGGAGCTGCTTACGAAGGATTGAATGCACGGAGTGCACGACTAAAGGTCCCTATGGAGCGGTGCCAACAAATGAGCAACAAGAGTCAGATACACTCCCTTGAAGTTAAGATAATTGCAGTGACGCTGATACCAAATATATACATTATAGCACAGAAACTCTACGACAATTAGCACAAGGGCTCATCCATTCTTTCACTCCTCTCCTGGATGCATGATCCGCTCGATGTTGCGTACCGTTCAGAGTTGCTAACAATCAATCCAAACTGATGAGACTGACTGACTGACTGATTGCTTGGCAGTCAGTTCAGTGTCAGTTTAGAGCTCTCGTCTTATCAGTCAGTTCAGTTTAGAGCTCTTAAACTG